TTTATCGATTTTTCGTGGTCTTGGGTCCCTCATTTTCCGTTCCATCTTCCTTATTTGCAACTTTTCGGATTGGTATCAAAATAAGTCCACCAACAACCATAAATGCGCCAGCTACACAGAATGATACTGTATAACCGAAGTTATTTTTCAACAAACCAGCTAGTGGTGTACTTAATAAACTACCAAACCCTTGAAACAATAACATCATGCCAGTAGCATTCGTGAGTTTTTCCAATCCATACAAAGACACTATTACCATACTTCTTAGGCAAGCTAGACTAGCTACAAAAAAACCGTACACTACACAGTATCCATATTGATAATATATATCATATGTTATATCTGAAACAATAGTACTTAAACCCCCAATACAACAAGAAATTGAATATAGTTTTATTGGGTCAATCTTAACAGCTAAAGCACCTATGGCTAACCTTCCACAAGCATTTGCGAATCCTAACACAGTAATAAATAGCGTGCAATGATGAGAAGCCAAACCCGCTTGTAAATTTCGATCCTTCAAATATACGTATGGTACTAAAAACCCTACATACGTTAAAAAGCCACTAGCAGATAGAAGCATAAATGAGGGACGTTTTAGTAATTTAGGATCCATCATAGTGGCAAGAACTCTTCTAACGGCTGTAGTAAACACTCCTCTTTTTTCCCGCAAATCTCCTGCGGTTACTGCTCTAGATACAGCCATCTGATATTCGAGACCTGTTTTTCCTTCTCCAGTAGTATCCATCATACTTTTTTGGTATATTGGTAACTTATCGACCTTCCCACTGTAAAATGCATCATCTCTGTATAAAGGCCGAGATTGTGGAACGTGTTCTTCCCAATGGCATAGACGTGCCCAACAACTACGTTTCTTAGGTGCCTCTTCCACGTGTACTGTGAGTTCAACATTTCGTTTTTGCTTATCTTGAACGCTTGTTTTCGAAATAATAGACTGCACTTGCTTTAAATGTCGACGACTAACACCCCCTTGAGGACTGTGTGCGGTCAGTGTAAGTTTAGATACTGCGCCAGTTGACGGTCCTGGCTGATTAGATGATGTGAGAACACCTTCTTCAACTACTGCTGCTGCAGTAGGGAAATTGGCATTAGACACAGCGCTAAATAAACGTTCAGTTACAGTAGGTTTAAGGCCGTCTACTTTTGCGCTCGATTGTGTTGGTTGAATTACTGCCTTTGATAAGCTTGGTAAATATGTAACTGTGCGAGTGGGGTCGTCAGTGGTTTTCACCACAGTAAGAGAAAGTAAAGGCCGGAAAGTCATGCCAAAGTAGTAAATAAGGCCAAACATCCCCGAATGCAACAATGTAGTTGTTCGCCAACCCGCTAAACTGACTAAGTATATGTTTAATGGAAACAAAATCATTATTCCCGCACTTGAACCTGTGGTTGCTAGCGCTATAGCTAAAGATCGAAGCCTCTCAAAGTAAAAACCTACCACTAATCCAGCAGACATGTTTATAAGGCAATATCCAAATCCTGCACATACTCCATAAAATATCACTAAAGAAGCATAATTTGTAGAAAAATATGAAAAAAATAATGAAAACGCACAAATTACAGACCCAGACATCACACAAGCCCTAAACCCGAAACGATTAATGAAAGCTGATGCTAATGGACCAGCAATAAAATATAATGCTACAGCCACAGAATTTATTAAAGCCACTAAAGAGTCAGCCATACCAAGATCTGCAGTCATATCACTTAGCAAACTCCCAAAAGTAAAAGAGACACCGTCTAAAATGAACATTATCCAAAAAGCGGCGAATACAACCACCCATCCCCAGCCACCTTCTTGAGGAACGGAGATTTGTGCTGCGATTTCTGTTTCTTCACCGCCTTCAAGTTCGTCAGGTCTACTAACAATACGACTTGGAATTACCAAAATACTTTTTCTTGGTTCTGTTTGCTTGGCAATTGATTTAGGGGGCATTTCTTATTTGTTCTTTTATTTACACATCTTAGATTCTAAATTATATCTACCCCTAAGGAGAATTGTTGCGAAGATCTTTTCGGATTTCAGTTGATCATTCGCTCATACGGCTTTAGGTTCATAAAGGTTTATTATCGATTCACAAGTTTTCAAATAATGTTAGCATTTTAATGGTGGTCTTCACATTCGCTCATTTGTATTTAAATGCGTTAAACCAAATTTTTAGCAAATCTCAATCAGAAATGACCTCTGTGACATGTTTATTTTTTGTGACAACTTGTTGGCACTTAGTTTTGAAAGACAAGTTAATAATGAAAAAAAATCTGCTAAGTACAAAACCAGGAAGTGGGTCAACTACAATATTTAGAGACATCCTTTAGACTCCAGACAGGTGAAACTTGTTAAAAGCTTATAAATTATAATACAGTTTTAAATTGCGATAGTATATGACACTATTACTGCCTATCGTACGACGGCTCATCAAACTAAGTGGTTTCTATTTGAAATATAAATGATAGTTTGCGACAAAAATGTTTGTTGTAATACAAAAAACTAAGTACAAAGTTTTACTTTGTACTTAGTTTATATATTGTAAATTAAATAACCACTGGCAACACCTACGGGTGATTGGATTAAATAGCCAGTACCCAGAAAAAGTCAATAAAACGTTCAAATAGTGTAATGAATGACATTTGAAATTCGCGGAGTCGTCGAATTTTTTTGACATTGATAAAGTGGACGTCAAGAAGCAAGAAGTAACGAACGACCGACGTCCAGTCCAACGATTTTTGGAGGGAAAAATTGGTTTCCACAATAATTACAGTGAGAAGATTAATTTTAATACATTTACAACTGCTAAAATGTCTCAATCAACTATAACATCGTTTTTTAATAGTAGAAAAAGACCGGCCACTGAAGATATTGTAAGTTCTAAAAACAAAATTGCCCACATTGATCACACGGGAAGTACTAATAGTGCGCGTAAAGCTTTTTTATCTAAGAAAAGTGAATTAATTTCAAAAGAAAAGACAAATGACATCAAGTTGGTACAGCCAGCACAGCCAAGACTTGAAAAAAAACAGGCAATAAGTGGCCCACAAGTACCAGAAGCATCAGACTCAAGTGGAAATGCATTCGCCAAGAAACAGAATGCTGTCAACGTTAAGAACCAAGGACCCTCAAAATCAGAATCTACTAACTCAATATCGTCGGCCCGTAAAGAGTTAAGTTTGGGAGATCTCAGGAAGAGGCTGGCTGGTAGTTCTAGGTTAGCTGAATTGAAGGCGTCTGCTGATCGCATCAGCAAAGGTATACAGCAACTAAAAGAGACCTCGGCCAAGAAGAACCTAAAAGAATTCAGATCAATTGATGTGGAAGTCCCTTCAAGGTAATATAAAATTCTAATAACAAGTTCATAATGTAACAACTGTAGAGCTCAGTGATTTTTATAGCATTTTTGTTCACAGTCCCAGCAAACAACGTTCGGTTCAAAATGAGTTGCTGTCTCCAAAGAATGAAGCTACAAAGCCAGTCAGCTCTGAAAGGCCATTGATATCTCCTAGGAAAGTTTTTGTAAGCCCTGTGAAGAGCCCCAGTAAGGTAAGTGTGTATAATTTTGTTGAAAGAATAAGGAAGCAAAAATGAATAGTGGTCTTTTTTATTAACATTGTTTTTTTTTCCTATTTAGGTCCCAGCATACGTCAGACATGCTTCCCTGGCTGCTTCACCATCCAGCTTGCCCCTGCCCCATCAGTACAGATTCTTGGCAGAACTCTTCCGTGGAATGGAGACTGTCGTTGCTCTATTATACAATAGACATGAAAAAATCACATTCACTAAACTGAAACCATCTGTACAAGAAATGCTGAAAAGGAATTTCACTGAGAAGCATTTAGCACAAATAAAACACCTAGTGCCTGACTTCTACAATTTTGAAATCCAGAAAATGAAAACTTTCAGCACATCAAACCATAAGGAATCCTATGAACTGATCATCTCTCCAAACTTTCCCAATGATATCAAGATTATGAATCCAAGTGTCTTATTGGAAAGGCGCAGATATTTCTATGAAACACTGCTTCAGTTGGCCAAAAAACATCACTCTCAGTATCTTCAGACCTTAGATCCTCCTATGGTGATTCCTGATGATAAACTGACTCGTTGGCACCCAGAATTTGAGCTAGAGAAAGTACCAGAAGTTGATAGTGCCAAATTGCCAGAAGCACCTAATGCTGAGAAATTCTCTACTGCCCAAGATGTGTTGACTAAAGCTCGTGAGTTGTTCAAATGCAATACCAAAATGGAAAGAGCTCTAGAGAAGTTAGCTCAGGCTAAGGCACGTGGATTGACCAATGAAGAAAAGGCTGCCACTGGTATCACTGACAGTGATGTTGGTACTGCTACTAGCACTCAAACACAAAGTGTGCCAAGTACCAGCAATGTTACCCTCTTGAATCCAGCTCTGAGGAATTTGCCTGCTTCATTACTCGAAAAGGTTAAAGCAAAACAGGCTGCTAAGGCTTTAGAAGCTATGACAAGATCCTCAGAAGATGAAAAGAAGTACTTAGTGTATTGTAGACTGCCAGATTTAGCAAGGACCCTCAGAAACATATTTGTAACTGAAAGAAAAAATGTTCTGGCATTGAATATTATACTTTCAAAGTTAGACAGCAGTTTCAAAGCAAATGTGTCTGCAAGTGACCTGCAAAGAGACATTAAAGTTCTAGCTGAGGCTGTCCCTGAATTAATTAAATTGCATGATGTGAGGAACACAGCTTATCTAAAACTAGACAAAAATGTGGATTTGAAAAACATCATATCCAAACTGGAAGCTCTAGCAGAAAAATATAAGGGAGAATAGTTTTAAGTTAGATTTAGAGTTGACATAGATACAAATGAAGACTGAGAAAATACATTAGTTTGACATAGTATTGCTGAATACTCCCAAAGATTACATGGATTTGTAATGTTGTATTTGTAACATTATAATTCTGTAAATTTTCAACATACACAGTATTGACATGCTGAGTTTTAATTTTCTCAATTTAGTTTTATGACATAATTTAAAAATAGTATAAGACATTTCATTTTGTATTAAAAGTTGTAAAGTTCAAAGATGATATCAGATTCAGCATTTTTTTAGAATAATTATTAATGTAATTTTTTGATCATCTGTTATCATGTACAACTTATTCTTCATTTTTTTTAATGTATTCTCAAAAATGAAGTGTTTTCATTCTCAAGTTGTATGTGACTTACAAATTGGAGTGTTTTTGACATTTTAATTAGTTGCAAACTTGCTGATTTTATAATATTTCTTTCTTTCTTACTGAGTGGTATTTTTTTCTATAATTAAACATTTTAAGACCATTTACGTTTATGATTCACGAAATATATTATCCTGATGTAAGTAGGTAGTCATTAATAATCACTTGGTATTGTAAGCCACGTTAATTGACGACATTAATTAAGTAATAAAGTATTAACAACAACATCGTTAATTTAATCTTTATTCAGAAGTAAGTCATAGTTAGGGCCACTTGATAATTGAAATCCACTGTGGAATTTTATTAAAATATCATCAGGAATTAGGTATTGGCTGATGACTGGATCCATCCTCATGTTTGCTATGTACTCCAACTGAAAACAAATTAGTTGTTAATTGTAATAACAGCGAATTTTCAACATTAGCTGGATCATTCTGTCTTACCAGTAACTTATATTTATCAGCATTAATGTTGGCTGTAGGATTGGTTTCGGCCAAAATTTGCAGTCTCTCGAACCACGGCCAAATCATGTAGTCTACGTATCCTGGCTCGTTTCCATACAAAAAATTCGACCCACGCGTTACTAGTTCCTCCTGAATTACGTCCAGGACTTTTCGGTATGCCGCAACGTTGTGTTCATTTACCTTATCTGGTGTTTTAACAAGTTTGAAAAACAACGTGTGTATCTGTAAAAGTAGATGTCTTGTTGAATCATGAACGTGTATTTTTCAATCGGAGTTAGTTTCACTAAAATACTTACGGCTCCAGACAGTTCGACTACCATTTTGTCCCGTGCTCTTTGCACTGGGTCTTTGGGTAATAGAGGTCTTTGAGGGTATACTTCGTCTAAATATTCCACAGTCGCTAAACTCTCGTAAATAGTTTCGCCCTGTTTTATTTCCAGAACGGGAACTTTACCTGTAAATTATTAGTAAGTTAAATATTTCTTCTTATTTAGAATGATATTCAGATTTTAAACTGATATAAATCTTACCAAAAGGACTCTTATTGAAAATCCAATCAGGTTTGTTAATAAGATTTACGTTAACCAACTCATAGTCAATCTCTTTGGCGTTCAATGCAAGCATGGTCCGTTGCGCATACGGGCAGAACCGCATGTTATAAACCCGTAGAATGCCATTGTAAGCTGGCTCTGGATCTCCTGGAAATCAGAACATGTAACCATAATGATTTTATACGATAGCTTAAAATGTGAGTGAGAGTCATAATTGGGTGCAATATTAACGTTATAGCGTAAGGCCCGGTTTCCCGGTAATTCTGTCATTTTCATTATACCTATCTCATTGGTTGGTTATTCAAAACATTTCTCCTCTCCGCTCCGCCTTGGTGGAAACCGGACTTTACCAATCAATGCCCCATTTTAACACAGATAAAATTTTAATGTAAACAGTTCTATTCCGATACATTGGGTAGGACGGTCTTAGGTAAATTTTTAAATGACTTAGGTACTTGATCTCCCATATAAAAAACAAAAATCACCTAAAATTACTAGTACTAACAAGTATTAGATTAGTGTAGGTACCTAGGTTGTATCTACTCGTACTTTATATTATTATTGTTGGTAAATTATCTAGACCCCAAATGGAGATTCTAAGTTATAGAATACATAACATAGATAAACATCGATCTGATAATAAAATATGGCGACCAAATACCTAGTACCTACCTACATTATTAGATAAGCGTACATTTAATAACTTCCCTGTTGTCCTCATCCATCATACCTAGTACAATTCTAATTTTGAACCCGCAACTGCAGCTAATAATCGGGTTACTCTAACCACCGGCCGTCTTATTTATTTTAGCTGCAACAACACGATAGCCGATTGGTAAAGGGGTCGGACTGGCCAACTCGTGATCCGGGGAACGCGGGTTCGAATCCCACCGCCGCGCGCCGCTCGACTATTGTGGTGAGCCCACTAATCTAGTGATTGTGAGGGGCTAACGGGACTATTAGTAATTTGTGCAATACAAATTACTTATAATAATCTTTATTTAAAAATAAAATACGGCTTCCAAATCAATCTTATTCGACATACTTAAGTACCCATCATTTTATTCTATTCAGAGCACTAATATTGTTGTGATACCTTTCTTGAGATGCTTGGAGTTGAAGTTGATGCCCTTGACCGATGACGCTATACTACGATTATCCAACAATAATACGCGTTCTACCGAACACACTTGACTACGGAGAACTTTAAATGACCACATTTTGAGTACCAGCTTTACACCGTTACATTTATTTACTGATTTCCTAATTTATTTGAACGAAATCTACGAAAAAATCTAATAAACAGTGAGTCTATCGAAACAAGTGGTTAACGTATGAGCGACGTGAGGTCCTCTGCACAGAAATGTAGCTTTTATCTCCACTGAATAAGCAATAAAAACGCTTAGCATGGATTAGCCTTGATAAGATATTTTGAATCGTCATCATGCTTTAGTGTGGACGATATCACATCAAGGTAAACATTGCGGCACTTATAGAGTTGTAATAAGAGCGATTTTGCAACAAAAATGTATAGTCTGATGTGCTGTTGCCTGTAGTACGTTGGAGTACTATGACCTTTAGTCGAGTTGTCCTATTGATGTTGTTCCAGTGGACTTGAGTCTCGGTCGGTACAAAGTACAAATTGATACCAACATTAAAAAAAAACATAATCCTCTTCGCGCAGTCGGGTAAAAATGTAGGTAAACATAGTGGTTGGCCGCCCTGACGAAAAGGTGCTGGGTTTGATTTCAAATTATTCCCAGGAGGCTCACACAAATGACACATAATTAAAAATAATGTATCTACTACTAATAACCGAGTAATTAGTATCGTACTTATGCTGTAGCAATGAGTTAAAACATAGATTTTTAGTTAAGTAGCTAAATTACTAATTATGGAAAGCCGATTGCCTTAATAGTCGTATCTTCATAAAGGTTAAGTTAATTTGAAAATTAATTAACTAATTACTTGTTGTCATTTTAGCAAGGTGATTTAGATAAAACAACGAGGATAACAAAATTAAAACTTTAATAGGTATTATAAGCCATATTTTACATAGTTTAATCGTTTAATATTAGGTAGGTAATGTAATAGACTAGATGTAAAAAAAAAATATTAATTCATTTATTACAAAAATGATGCATACAGCATCCTTACAGGAAAATCATAGTCATAAATTATTACATGTTCCAATACGTTTAAAATGAAAACAATACAAACAAACCAGTAATGAATGTGCAATGACTTGAGTAAGTATGACCTGTGGTATGACTATGATGAGTGTCATCTACATTTACTTACAACAGAGTTCATGCTGATTACCAACTTACGGATATCGTGAATACTTAATTAAAAAAATGAATTTATTTGATTTCATTAGGGTATGTTCGTTACTATGACTAGATTTTAATTTCCTATAACATTTGTCTGGCCAGTATGGAGACACTGGAGACGTCGCGAATAGTTGACGAAAATACGGATTAGTTTTTGGCAGATTGCGCCAGCCTTTCATACTTTGTCTCAGATAGGACGGTCAATAATTAACTTTTCTAACTAATTTAAATGTTGGACTTTACGGAGGTAAAATAAGAGTCATAATCGATCTGCCCAGTTCGGTAGCCTTCCAAAAACTTCAGGAGAACGTCTTTGGGTATCACGTACTGACTGACGGCCGGGTCCTTTAGCATGAGATCTAAATAGTCCAGCTGAAAATAATAACAAACATAATATTAATCACAAACACTTAACTTCAGTTTAATAAACAATTGAAAACGGCTTAATTTAGTAAGTTAGAACCAGAGTCGGAGCTACCGCCGTATCAATGAAAAGGGCCTCCAGGCTACAGGGCAGGGGGACAAAGACGGTAAATTTTTAGATAATGATGATGATGAACCTTTTTTTAGATGAAAGACCCCCCAACAAATTTTAATACCGGGATATCTCATGCTTTTTCTACTAAAAATTAACACTTAAAAATTAATCAAAAGACGTGTGGCCTGTGGCACTTACCAACAATTTATATTTATTCGCATCAATGACCAGAGGTTTCATATCTTGGACGCATAGTATCCTCTCAAACCACGGACAGATCATGTAGTCTACGAAGCCAGGCTCGCTGCCGGCAAGGAATTGCGTGCCTCGGCTCTGAAGCTGCTCTTGGAAGAAGGCCAGCGCTTTGTTGTACGCTGCCACCATATCGTCCGTGATAGTGTCAGGGAATTTGAAGGCCTTGAACATCAATACTTGGACCTGGAACGTAAAGATATAAGTAATGTAAGGTTCATTCGATTCATCCAAATGACGTCCACTGCTGGACAGAGGCCTTCTAAGGATTTCCACGACTGGTCCTTGCGCTGACCGCATTCATGTAAAGTTTAGCCGACTTCAAAAAGAGGAGCTGTATTCTTTATTTGGTGTATTTTTTTTTTACTTTTTCTTTTTTTGTGGTACATATCTCTAGGTAATAGCTAAACGACGCATTCATCAGTTACAGGACTTGTAATTTTATTGTTGTTAGGGACAGTCGACCGTACATCAGACTACTTAGGTATATTTTTTTCTTGCAAAATCCCATGCATCTTGCAACAACCGACGAAATGACGCCACCGTGTTTAGCTTGATGTGTCGTCGTCGATCTAAAACAAAATTTTACTTACTGGTCCGAGAGCTTCAATGATGATCTTATCGAAGGCTTTTCTAATAGGATCCTTAGAAATCAAGGGACGCTGCGGATAAAGTTCGTCGATGAGCTCCACTGTCACCAAACTTTCGTAGATACAAACGTCTTCTTTGACTTCTATCGCAGGAACTTTACCTGTAAATCGAAAATAACGATAATTTTATCATTAATTCTGACGATAAAGTTTGGGTTTATTAAGAGTTCGCAGTTGTCTTGGAAATCTAACAGCAATCAATTATCAAATCTATCAAGGTACCCTATCTAAAATCTGCTACGTTATGCTAATCATAATTTTTGACTTCAGTCAGGGTCTTTTCGCATCATGTACTGTGTCCTAGTGCCCAGTGCCCAGCGATTGAAGGGGCTTCCGGCTCGTACTCGTAAAATAAATACTCGGTATACGCTGTATACCTATAAGTAATTATTTTACAGCAGTAAAAGGAACGCCGTGGTCCTGAAGTGCCTAGGGGCCCCGGTAGATTAAAGATGACCCTGACTTCAGCGCCACCTGTTGGAACTAACTATTTTTTACTATAACTATTTTACTATAAAATGTAAACTACTTACCAAATCCACTCTTCTTGAACAGCCACTCAGGCTTGTTCACCAGGTCGATGTTGATGACCTCGTAGTCTACCTGCTTGGCGTTGAGCGCCAGGATGGTGCGCTGGGCGTACGGGCAGAAGCGCATGTTGTACACGCGTAGCTTGCCATTGTATGGGGGCAGGGGATCGCCTGGAAATCCGTAAAAAGAAAGAAATACATGCATAAATAAAGTATTAAACAAGTTGGATTGGAACGTTTATCATCAGTATAAATGTAAAACAGGTTTTCTTCGCATAAGACTCCGCCACTTATAACTATTTTATAAATAATTCGATACTCTGTTTTGAACGGTAAAAAATGTACCTACTCTACTAGGTATTTCACAATCTTTAATTGATTGGTGCAATGGTCATGTTAAAGGTACACAGTTTAAAAATGATAACAGACAGATAATACAATTTACTCGTCAGCGCGGTGCGGCGATAATATCAAATTTTCGCGCCGACTGGATTACTGGATTGGATTCCTTAACAATTAACAACAGAGAGGCGGCCTTGGCTTGACTTAAAACAATAAAATAAAGTATGCTTCTAATTTTAGTATGCAGACGCTCAATTAGACAGAACAGGTTCTAAAGGTAGGTGGTTCTATCAACTATTAAACAATTCCTCAATCAAATGTTTACAAACACAAAGAAATAATTAAATGCTTTTATAACAAAATGCTTACCTTTAGCCAAATGCTTGGAATTAAAGTCGATTTTCGGAGACATGCTGAAGTAAGGCACTACGTACTCCAATGCTTGTGTGACCGGAGTGAGCAGCTTGAACGACGAAACCAGAATGTGGGACGCCAAGCTTATTGTCGACGCGATCATGTTTTGAACTTGATTTTCACAGTGACGCGGCTATGATAACGTTATCAACCAATTTCGTCCACGATTAGTTCTTTCTGGGAGTTTTCAGAATTATCTGCAATTTTTTGTACATCTTGTATTCAACTTTAGCGTGACTACGCATTACGCAAGGTAAACAACCTTCATACTAAATACAACTGCGTCACTTATGATGACGATGACGCTTTTACGCTGATAGGTAAACTGTAGTGGAAAAGCAGACAGGTAATGCAAGTCATGGTGCTGTGGAGAGTCATGGTAGCGGCTGCAGCCGTTATTTTAAACATTTTGCACTAGAAAAATAAGGTTGCCTGAGGCGACTTCAATCTTAGACCTTTTGCTTGCCAGGCCACTGCTCTCACCACTGAGCTATGGAGACATTGGTTCACGGTTCACCTGTCGAAATTTTAAATAAATAAAACTTTTTTTTAAATCATGTCCATGATAAACAGAACTAATTTTTTATGTAAACAACAAGATTAGTAAAAGAATTGCCAGTTAAGGGAAGATAAAAAAAAAACGAAAATAAAAATTGTACTTTTATTGTTAACTACGTACAACGAAATAATATTTCTTGTTACGTACAAATGGACCGCGTGAAAATAAAGCCGAAAATCGTAATAACGTTTGTCGTAACGTTACTCCTTCTTCTTCCTGGGACGCATGCAGCAGACTGCACTGGTGTCCAGCATGTTATAGTCGGGGTCTCCCTTGGCGCGAGACTCGGTGAACTTGGCGTGTGTCTCAGGAGCCAGGCAGTAGGACTTCACAGCTGGCACGGTCTTCATCGCCTCAATGTATGTCAACTGAAACAAAATGTTTAGAGAAATGTTGAGTTTTCTTTCAAGTGTCTGATTTTTATATGAGGACAAATACTAATTAGTGGTACTGTGGTTAAAGAATTGATTAGTAAAACGATGGTAAAAAATTGTGAACTGAATGTCACTGAGCATTTTGTCCCAGTTAACCTTTATGACATTTAAATAAATTATGTGGCAGAGGAGGAGGAATAATCTAAAGTCAAAAATGATATTCCAGCAGGGATGTGGATATTATACATACCAGCAAGGCATATTTGGAGGAATCAATAGCAAACTCGGTCTTTCCCAGCAACGGCAGAGACAGGAAACGCTCCAAGAATGGCCAAAGGGTGAAGTCTACCAAGCCAGCTTCGTCGCCATGAAGGAATTTGGTTCCGCGCACTTCAATCTCTTTTTGTAGCCCTTCAAGACCCTTGTGGTAGTTCTCAACCATGTTGGGTTGGAGGGCTTGGGAGTTGTATGCTGCTGTGTAGAAAGCAGATTGAGCCTAGAAAAAATAACAGTCATTTTTAGAATACTATTCCTACGTAATGCATGTTTTTTAAGTTCAAAAGATAATACATATATTCATCATTTAAAGATTGCAATGGTCATCACAATAGGATATAAAGTATATGAAATACTTACAGCAGCAAAGTTCTCCACAATCATCTTGTCTTGAGCCCTGCGTAGTGGGTCCGTAGACTGAAGGGGTTTCTCAGGGTACTTCTCATCCAAGTATACATTTATAATGTTGCTGTCAAATATAGCCTTGCCTTGTTCGTATTCAAGAGCAGGAACCGTGCCTAAAATTGATAAATTTTGCTCTTAGTTCACAAGTCAATAAATAAAGACAAGTAAAATGTATATGGTTATGGAATTTTATCAACGAAGTTATTTATAATAACTGAAATAACATCATGCTTGATAATGCAGTAGGCTATTGAGGCTTGAGGATATGAACCAAGTCAGGTATAGAATATACATTTTCCTGCATCTAATAATATTTAACTTAAGGAAACCTTGATGTTTAATAAACTGAAGCACAACAAGGTAATTAAATAACAAATAGGAAAGTATGCAAGCAATGATAAGTGTGTTTACTGCTTGTTTACCCAATATGATAGTATTTTATCATGCTATAGTAGGTAGGTAAGTAAAAACCACATGCCAGATTGACTCATTACTGTTCTAGAATCATACACATTAATAAAGGATTACATTACATACCAGTAGTACGTACGTACGTTTAACTGAGTAAATGCTTGAAGTATGGGAGCGGCGACAAGACGGTTTTTTGAGAAGTCGAATGTCAGCAAGACTTCTTTCAGATTTGTACTGCCCTTACACCTCAGGCACTGAATCAGTTAAGAACTAGACCACCAGGGTTTACAGAAAAAGGATAGCAAAGTTATTTTTTTAGTTAGTCAAAAGATTATACTTTACCTTTAGGGCTGAAGCTAAACAGCCATTCGGGTTTGTGATCCAGGTTAACAAAGACAAGATCGTACTCGACTCCTTTAGCGTTCAATACGAGGACACTCCTTTCAGCATACGGGCAGAACCTCATAGCAAACAGCCGCAGCTTCCCATTGTAAGGTGGCAGCACGTCACCTGGAAAAATAGATAAGAACATATCATAAAATAAGATCAAAGATTGACAGACAGATTCTGATAAGAAATTTTAAAAATTTATTATATTCATTATTGCACATAAATTCCACTATCTAGTGGAATTGTGGTTATTTAGTTATATTTAGTTCAAAAATTACATCAAACAGAATCGTCATTGAAAATAAGAGCTCACAAGAGGTTACTTTCACTTTGTTTCACATGAAGCATAAAACTTGAATAAAAATTATATTTCTATCTCGAGTTTTTTAAAACACGCTTATTTCACTAAAAAAATAGAGTATTTTCTTATTATTAAAATTAATAAGGGAAAAAAACATAGAATACCGGCTTGAAGATGCTTTTCCGACATGATAATTAATAGGTAGTTCCTTTACAACAATTATTAAAGTATTGCTGAAAATCTAAAACACACTTTAATAAACTGGAAAAGTAGCCGCGCGGTACCGTTCACTTCAGTTCACTTACGACAAACAAATTATTTTCTGAAATCAGAAAAAATGGATGGAAATTGGAAAGGAAGAATGACAGATGACAGTTACAGTGATGTCATATCTGCAATTTTGTTTTGCTGTTGCCAGTTGCTATGACCACAAACTCGCACAGACAGGGTCACCTTGTCTGGTCAATAATGATTGCAACGTATTATTTTTATTGATGTGTTTTTATTCCTTTATGTTTTTAGCCCTTAGGGTTCCGTAATTTTAAACAATCTTTTATCCCATTAACATTGCTCTTCTGCTGATAACATCTAATAAATCTTTTCATTATATGAAGGAAAAAAATATTATAGCCTGACCAGGAACATAAAAACCCTCGCCATGTTGCGGAAAACTAATGGTACTAATTTCTTTTAATGGCAACAGTAACTGAAAACTTCATTGACATGTCACCTTGCATGTCAGTCTATTGCTGTCAAAGTGTAAACAAACTTTATTTTAAATGTGCGCAATTGGTTTTATGAATTAAATAGCTAAAATATTTTTATAGTCGTGAAAGAAAAGTGGTTCACAATGTGTTAAAGTATTTGTCGAAGAGAAATACTAAGGGTTCGGACAATATTTTCATTGAATAATGTTTCCGACAAAGGTTGGGGTAGATCCGCCGATTTGATTCCGCGAGATTTATTTTACGTTTTTTGAAAAACTTTACAGGAATGCGTGCAAACTAGCTTAAACTGAAAGGTTAAGCAATGAGCTTTTTAGATCAGGGCCTCACCCTTAGATTCAATCGTTATTTTAGAAGTAACAAGCGTCCAAATATTTTTTCACAAAATGGTAATGACGTTTTCCCAATGGTAATGATTTTATTAAAATGGTAATGATCTTATGTTAATGGTGATGACGAAATATAATTTTATAGTAATACATTAAATTAAAATAACTTGAAAACTAAAATTTAGATATAATTGTTCAGCTAAACACCAATTTTATCTATGTTATTTTCCTAGCTAAGCACGTACCTATTAAAGAATGGGTTGGAAATAAAAGTAAATGTATTCAATAATTTAATGAATTTATTGAATTTGGAACAATACGGACATTAGTTAAAAATTTTTTACGTTCCTAATATTATTCAGAATCAGAAAAAATATATATTTACACCAATGAGGATTTTGATTGAAAAATATGCCAAGCTACTCTTACTTAGACTTACACAATAGTCAACATACAAGAAATGAATAAAAAAACGTCTTTTCGTAAACTAATAAAAAACCTTCTCATTTAAAAACAAAGCTTAAAGAACAATGGGACAAAACGTCCCCAGAACTGTAGCACTTTAATACCTACCTTATATGATAGACCATGCTAATACCCGACCGATCTCTCATTGGGAAAGAAGTACCGAGTTTGAAGCGTTCATGAGCAGACATTGCAGTTGAATATTCAAGTTCTGAATTTGATTATTGATGAATAATAAAATAAATTCTACTAGCTCGATTGATGGTTTCATTTAATTTATTTAAATCAGGTTACCTATAATAATATATTTCGTTAATTTATGAAAATATCAAATTAGCCCGTAATCCTGAATCCTGATACATAAAGTTAGCCTATTAATTTTACACAGGTACGACTGTACTCAGTGTTGCACTATCAAATGCAATTGACGCGCCTCTATGCCAGGGTTTTTATGTTCCTGGTCAGGCTATAGTAGGTATTTTGCATAAAAATAAATTTTAAAAATCGCGCTTCTTGAGCCTCATATTAGACAAAATAAATGTACGACAGCGGGCGCGGCGCGTATTACAACCCGGTCGAGCTAACTGCCCACCTCGCTGGAATGCGAATCTTCCTCGCACCTCCCCGCGTTCGCACCGTAGAGCGTCGATGTGACGTCACGGGTGCCTGGTGCGCAGTTATATCGACCGGGTTGTAGAGTTGATTTGGCGGTAGCAGTAGGTTCTTAACTCCTTAGCATTAAGCAAAAATAGACTTTATGGCGGAGCAGTAAGACTATTGCCTAAACATTTAAAGTGATGGCGAATCTCTCTACTAACAATAAACGCATGTTTGCGGATAAAATCCCAGTCAATACAGGAGCCATTGGAGTCCGTTACAATCATAGTTTACAGTAAAAAATATCCCTATAAAATATTAGAATTCTAATACTTCCTATCTTAGTAGTTAGTATTCGATGGATTTTAAAGAAAAAACATTAATATAAAATAAATTTGTATTTCCATAAATATTGACACAACCAAAATTAACAAGTAAGTAGTCCTGTGCCAAAGTTTAAAACAATTCTTGAGTAAGTTATAAGGATTTTTTTCGATTTTTAGTCACATAATGTTATTATTATTATAGAAATATGTTATAACTTAAAATATTTGTAACAACATGATTCGAGTACATTATAGATAATTACTTTCGAGATTCGATTACTATTAAAATACTCTTTTGGATTTGTATTGAGTACATTTGTTAATAATTTGTTTTCACTTTTATTTTTAAATTAATTTCATCAAAGCGAGTAAGAGCAACATTGGTAATTGATTATAGGATTAGACACTAAATAACATTAATACTTTTTTACAACATCAATAATAATTGATATAAAAATCATAACTTCATAACTTCTTCATAATAGTTATAGGTGTACCAGAATCTCATGGCAAATAGGGAAAATAAACTTTGTTGAGAGCAATACTGGGGAAATTGGAATAAACGATCTTGATACTATTTAATTTTTTACTTTTATTACTTTAATATTAATGAACATGAAGTACGAATATACATTTTAGGTAGGTATGTGTATGAAGAATGTTGTTAGACATCAGATTTTTAACATAGGTAAATGTTTTGGAAATTGAATAAATCGTATATTACTTTAAGTAACTAATTTTATTATGCATCATACTTCTAACTTATCACTTCATTCAGAACTAGAAAACGATTCTTAAAACTCCACTTGCATTTCTTGTTTTTCAATAAACAGATGATCAAGATAAAGAGGTACTGTAAATAAATTGCTCTTCCAGCATTTCAATGGAGAAGTTCCTGATGTTAAAACACTATATTTCTCTGAATGGGATTAAAATATATACCAAAACTAAAAAGACGGTGAAGTTTTTATTTAAATCGATCAAGAAATGTCTGAGAAATAAATTATTTATATTACCTACATATTTTCGCGTGGAACTGAAACATAGGCGGTGCCGTTCTTTTTGTATATGGCCAGGTCTGGGATATTTTAAAAAAAGGTTACAAAATTTTACTAAGAAAGAATCTTGAGTGACCCTAGCTGAAAAATTAAAAACTGCTAGATTTAAAAAAAATAACCTGTCAACAGCACTGGCTGGATCAGGGGTGATTTACTGTTTGTACTCCGAATGACTGTCGTGAATACACCGATCAAAATGGCGTGAATAGTTATGCGCAACTTTAGGGCCCTGTAACTTATTTATTTGTAGAGATATTTTCATGATTATTTTACAATTATTATTAGTTTTACTTATATTTATTTCAAGTTTATTTAAAAGAAAAAAATTGGAAACTTCTTCATTATTCAATCTTGCTTTGATGAAATCTTTTTCAATTTTCTTTACATGGTCATAACATCTGCACCAATTTGTGAGATATACCTGAAAACCCCGATAAAGCAGCTATTAAGTAAGAATAATATAAAAAAACCCAACCCTCCTTCTGACGCAGTTGGGTAATAAACTAAATGTATCAAAACATTTCAGTCCAACTTACTGTCAACTCGACGACGCGCTTTAGAATCAAAGATTGACTTTGAATTATGCCTTATTTTACAATTCACATTGAAAACAATATGCTTTGCTTGAACTTTTTCGACTTTTTCAGAAAAATAACAAATAGTCAAGAAGAGATTACAAAAATTTTGCAGCGGCTGACAGATTTCATAATTTTCTTTGACAGGTGACAGTTAAACCATAGACAATTGCCATATGAAAAACACACTTTTCCAATATTTTTGTTTGCCATGAGATTCTGGTACACCTATACAGATTGCAATATAGATATTTAAATACATAGGAAGCACTTCTAATAGTGATATAAAAACAAATTAACTCAAAATCTATCAACATCATGCTTATATCGTCAAACTTGCTTACTTTAATTCAAAATATCTATTTAATGTTATGAAATATTTTTTATTATTTTTTGTAGGTTCATGTCAAAATGGACATGTCTATGGTTATTGCACTAACTTTGTACTGATCTAAAACTAATATTAAATAAGTACAAATTATACACGTTTTAAACGTTAGGAATGTTCACTAAATCAACTTAATTATTTATAATTTAAAATCATGTCAATTTATTTAAACATAAACCTTGGACGATCTCAACTCAATAACAGAAATAAATAAATAGGTATTTTAACTTCAATTAATTGAAAAATATTTACATACATATTTCATTCATTAATAGAACATTGTTTCTACAGATCTATTCGAGAGTTTAATAAAAACTAAAATATGCGTTGTTTGTGGATGATTATTTAGCTATTTCTTAACTTTTTTCTGTATCGCAACATCTCAATTACTGACGCTTAGTTTCATAAGATTCACTGCTTTTTATAGCATAAAAACATAGGCTAAAAATATATTAAGACATATTTTTCACTTTCTTGTCTATTTACCATTGATTCGCAGCATTGTGACGTAAGCACATGCTGCTTTCACTAGCTAAACACAAAAGGGTACGACGGGAGAGCGCCGACATAGCGATTATATCATCTCGTCTTTCGACTCAGTTCCCTCAATGCATTTCTTTGTTCAAAAAATATTAATCTATTTTTAAATTAAGCTTTACACGCACCTGTTTCATATGTTGAGGCTGTATACTTTCAATGCCTTTGCTTGTTTTTTTTTTTAAATTATGTTCACCTTACTTTCTTGGGATGTACAACATCAATGCCTTTGCTTGCAATATTCATCTATGTTTTCTTTTTAAATATATTCTGCAGGTTCATATTGCTCTTGGATTGCTGGAACATTTGCGTGACCCTACGGCCGACCTCCTGGGCAGCTTGTAGGTTGGATGCGGGGCGCGGAGGGGGCTCGCGGGGGGTATCAGCGGGGGAAGGCCCCGCTACATTGTGCAGTAAGGCTTCTATTGCTGGCTTGTACTGGCTCAAGGGCGGTGTCTGAACGCTTTCTTCTAGCTTTCTGTAAAGGGAAAAATTTGGGAGTTAAGGCAGTGTATTTTTAATTAAAGTCTCAGGGCAAATGTCGCTACGCCACGTGCCGTATCTGAGGGCAGATCATGATGTCACGCTGTACGCTTACCCAAGGGCGGAAAACGACGTAACACTGCCTTTCTTGCCAGTGGAGTGGTAAGGAGGAAAGTGACAAGAGAATTGCGCTTCATCTAAGGGCAGAATGTGGCGTCATAGACTTTCGCATGGCGGAAGGTGACATCAAGCTTCAAACCGTACCTGAAGGTAGAATGTGATGTCACGCTGTTTCTTCCCGTATCGGTGCGCAGAACATAACGCGGGCTGCCACGTACGTAGTACCACCACGTTACGTACCATGTATGTTGCAACTTGCATGGCATGCCGTACCTGAGAGCTGTAGGCCTAGGATGCGTGCCGCGATAAGCTTTAGCGGTTGTCACGCCATTTTATGGATTTTTCCCATACATACCTCGATAAGAGTATATTATGACGCGCATCCTAGCCCGGCAGGTCGTGATGTGACGTTGCTGTTCGTACCACAACGTGACGCGGCTCGTGACGTCACGCTGCCGTTCGTACCACAACGTGACGTCACTCCGCATACCGCATGTTTACCTGAGCGCGGGCAGCAGCGCGGGGTGGTGGCGGCAGTGGTGCGCGGCCAGCTGCAGGCCGGGCGCGTGACGTCACGCTGTCGTTCGTAGCACAACGTGACGTCACTCCGCATACTGCATGTTTACCTGAGCGCGGGCAGCAGCGCGGGGTGGTGGCGGCAGTGGTGCGCGGCCAGCTGCAGGCCGGGCGCGTGACGTCACGCTGCCGTTCGTAGCACAACGTGACGTCACCCAGCATACTGCATGTTTACCTGAGCGCAGGCAGCAGCGCGGGGTGGTGGCGGCAGTGGTGCGCGGCCAGCTGCAGGCCGGGCGCGTGACGTCACGCTGCCGTTCGTACCACAACGTGACGTCACCCAGCATACTGCATGTTTACCTGAGCGCGGGCAGTAGCGCGGGGTGGTGGCGGCAGTGGTGCGCGGCCAGCTGCAGGCCGGGCGCGTGACGTCACGCTGCCGTTCGTACCACAACGTGACGTCACCCAGCATACTGCATGTTTACCTGAGCGCGGGCAGTAGCGCGGGGTGGTGGCGGCAGTGGTGCGCGGCCAGCTGCAGGCCGGGCGCGTGACGTCACGCTGCCGTTCGTATCACAACGTGACGTCACCCAGCATACTGCATGTTTACCTGAGCGCGGGCAGTAGCGCGGGGTGGTGCCGGCAGTGGTGCGCGGCCAGCTGCAGGCCGGGCGTCAGCGCCGCCGCGCCCTCTGCCGGCAGCGGCCGCCGCAGGCATAGCGCGCACAGCAAAGATACAGCTGAAATTAATAAACGATTAGATTAGATAGACATAGAGTGAATATACCGATAGAAGACTAGGTTTACATCGGATGATCCACTGCGCTAAGATCATACAAGGCACTTAGGTGCATTTTTTTTATGTGACAGGAGGCAAACGAGCAGACGGATCACCTGATGGTAAGTGTTTACCGTCGCCCATAGACACCCGCAGACCCAGGGGCGTTACAGGTGCGTTGCCGGGCTTTAAGGTGAAGATACGCTCTCCTCTTGAAAGCTTGCAGGTCGTATCCGTCCGGAAACACCGCAGACGACAGTCCATTCCACAGTTTGGTTGTACGGGGCAGGAAGTTTCTAGAGAAACGTACTGTTGTGGACTGCCAACCATCTAAGTGATGGGGGTGGAAGCTGTCGGGTGCATGATCCAAAGACGCGCCGCTCGCATACGGAGCGCAGTGGATCGTCCGATTTGATATCTCTAATCAGCAAAATAGTAGCAACAGTGTGTGTTATTTACATTCAGCGTCATTCGTACCAAGTGTTTTAACATAAACCAATGACAGCCGTGAGTTTAATTTGCCAGTTTCAGGCGTTCCAGCTCATTACGACAGTTATGTTAACATGTCAATACTACATTATAATGAATATTAAAAATCCAGACTAACCTTTCTCCGACACAGCATGGTTATCCGGCGTCGGCAGGACGAGCAGGGCCAACGACTCAGCAGCCCTGACTATCTCCTTGCTGCTAAGGGTCTTGGGGCCAGCTATGAGGTCCTCGGCGGGGGGCCAGCACTGCGCCTCGCACGCTAGTCCGCGAGTCATGCACGCCCGCGTCACGCTGCCCCATAGCGTCATCGCTGCTTCGCGGACTGAGCTGTAGTAAAAAACGTTCCAATTTGAATTTAACGACTTTATCGGTGAAAAATAATGGCTTGAGGGGCGGCCCTATTAGGTATTCCGCAGGGGCTAGCACTGCGCCTCGCACGTCATAGCATCACGCTGCCCCATAGCGTCATTGCTGCTTCGCGGACTGAGCTGTAGTAAAGTTTATAATGATGAGAAATAGTGGCTTAAGGGGCCGGCTATAAGGGTTTACGCGGGGGACCAGCACTGCGCCTCGCACGCTTGTCCGCGAGTCATGCACGCTCGTGTCACGCTGCCCCATAGCGTCATCGCTGCTTCGCGGACAGAGCTGAAGCGAAGTTTTTGATAGTGAAAAAAGGTGTCGTAGCTGTAGGTAACAGTTACGTTTTTAATTGTGAGAAATGGCGGCTTGAAGGGCCAGCTATTAGGGTCTACGCGGGGGGCCAGCACTGCGCCTCGCAAGCTAGCTAGCTTGCGCGTCATACGCGCCCGCGTCATGCTACCCCGTAGCGTCATCGCTGTTTCGCGCACTGAGCTGTAGTAAAAAAACGTTCCAATTTGAATTTAACGAGTTTATTGGTGAAAAATAATGGCTTAACGGGCGGTCCTATTAAGTATTCCGCGGGGGCCAGGATTGCACCTCGCACGTCATAGCGTCACGCTGCCACATAGCGTCATTGCTGCTTCGCGCACTGAGCTGCAGTAAAGTTTTTGATGGTGAGAAAAGGTGTCTTAGCTGTAGTAACAGTTACGCTTTAATTGTGAGAATGGCGGCTTGAAGGGCCGGCTATAAGAGTTTACGCGGTGGGCCAGCACTGCGCCTCGCACGCTAGTCCGCGAGTCATGCACGCTCGCGTCACGCTGCCCCATAACGTCATTGCTGCTTCGCGCACTGAGCTGCAGTAAAGTTTTTGATGGTGAGAAAAGGTGTCGTAGCTGTAGTAACAGTCATGTTTTAATTGTGGAAAATGGCGGGTTTAAGGGCCAGCTATAAGAGTTTACGCGGTGGGCCAGCACTGCGCCTCACAAGCTAGACCTCGCGTCATGCACGCCCGCGTCACGCTGCCCCATAGCGTCATTGCTGCTTCGCGCACTGAGCTGCAGTAAAAAACGTTCCAATTTGAATTTAACGAGTTTATCGGTGAAAAATAATGGCTCGAGGGGCTTCCGCGGGGGCCAGCACTGCGCCTCGTTCGTCATAGCGTCACACTGCCCCATAGCGTCATTGCTTCTTCGCGGACTGAGCTGTAGTAAAATTTATAATGGCGAAAAATGGTGGCTTAAAGGGGCCGGCTATAAGGGTCTCTGCGGGGGGCCAGCACTGCGCCTCGCACGCTAGTCCGCGAGTCATGCACGCTCGTGTCACGCTGCCCCATAGCGTCATTGCTGCTTCGCGCACTGAGCTGAAGTCAAGTTTTTGATAGTGAGAAAAGGTGTTGTAGCTGTAGGTGACAGTTACGTTTTTATTGTGGGAAATAGTGGCTTGACGGGCCGGCTATAAGAGTTTACGCGGGGGGCCAGCACTGCGCCTCGCACGCTAGTCCGCGAGTCATACACGCTCGCGTGACGCTGCCCCATAGTCATTGCTGCTTCGCGCACTGAGCTGTAGCAAGAACATTCAGATTTGAATTTAACATGTTTATCGGTGAGAAACAATAGCTTAAGGGGGGCCGGTTATTAGGTCTTCCGCAGGGACCTCGCACGTCATAGCGTCACGCTGCCCCATAGCGTCATTGCTGCTTCGCGGACTGAGCTGAAGTAAGGATTTAGATGGTAAGAAATCGTAGTTTGGTTTTATAATTGTGTAACTTAGCGTGTATCACAATCCATTTCAGTTTGACAAAAGGTGTATCTACTGACGCAGAAATTAAACATCATTCCACTGCTGCAGAAATATCACTAACGATTGTATCTCTGAGCCAGTGACGGATATACGTGAAGCTAAACACTGTGGCATCCTATGTAATTGTAATTTGTATGTGCGAGATAGAGTTGAATAAAACAGTGGTTTAGTGTAGGGACACACTAACGCCTTTCAAGCTTCGTCATCTTATCAGCGCCCGCGCAGAGTCAACACGTTGCGTTGGCGCCGCGCAGACGCGACTCTAGTGCTGTTTACTTACACATCGTCGTCATGTAATAACGCCATGACAGCAGGAAGAAGTTGTCGCTCGATGCAAGTCTCGCGCACCTCTGCTAGGTTTAGAAGCTCGGACAGGAGGTTTGCTATGTATACTCTGACGGTACTACCGCTGGAGCTTTCGCAGCTACTGGCAGAAACTGTGGATGGAAACTTGCATGTCAATAAAGATATTGAATAAGTTGTCACTATTATTTAAGACACCGTTCGGTGGATTTGGTCGCTCAGAACCCCTAAAAATCGGCATTGTCCCGTCTATATCGGAGCTACAAATGTCCCGATGGATTTATCGAAAAATATCCAAATTGTAGCATAATGGGCGCAAATAAAGAAGAATGCAATTTCGATGACATGCAAGGTGGGGTGTTGCTGTTTGTTATCGAATATTATAGTGTTAGGTTTCTTTTAGGTTTTTCATCAATGAGGGTTTTTGCGATTGAAAAATCCGCCAGATGGCAATACGTAGACACGAGGTTCAAATGCTGCATGATTGGTTATTTTTGACGTGACATTGACAGATATGTCAAAATCCACCAATCACGCAGCATTTGGACCTCGCGTCTACGTATTGCCATCTGGCGGATTTTTCAATCGCGAAAACCCTCATTCAGATGTTTAGTTGACAAACTTACATTCTCTGAGATGTTGTAAATAAAAGTCGAGTGTATCCGGTCGATGTTTCGACACCCACTTCATGGGTATTGCGAATATTTTGATGGGAAGTCCTCTTATGCTACTGTACATTATCCACCTGCAATAAAAAAAAATATGATTAATAACTCCAAATTAAATGAAAGTAAAATATCTAAAATAGTACAGTTTTTAGTTAGTTTAGTTTTTGGTTTTTGATTCTGTTTAGTTTTGTGTTAATATTGTTTTCTTTTTTTTCTCTCTCTTTTTTGTGATCACCGTCCATAACGCCCCCTGTTGCGCGCCTTCTTGACTGGTAGCCTCAATATGGTCCCGGTCAAGAGGGCGCGCAATCCGCAATCTTCATCGTGTTGGTTCCCGCTGAAAACCAGCTTCTCGACATGGCGCTTGTTATGTCGCGAATATAGCTGAGCGGACGCCTCTTCAGCATAGCTTGTAGTTTAATGTTATATGTACTGTATTTTTATTTTATTTTTCTATGCTGAATAAAGTATTCTTATTCTTAAAATGAAGTTAAGGAAAGAATTACACTTACTTCTGCAGAAATTCTCCACTTTTATCCTCAAGTGCCGGCAAAATTGCAATTAAGTACACGCCTACAACAATCGTGCTATCTATATTGACACTGTGCAGTTTTTCCAATTTGTTTTCCAAATCTGCCACGATATTGGTGAAAATAGGCTTTAGTACGTAAGCAGTAAAGTTCACGCCGAAATGGTCTACATAACTGAGAAATAAAGATAATAGTGATTCGTAAATCGTTGGATGATTTAATGCCTTACTACTTATACCCACTTCTATAATTTGTTTTACTCTGAAACAAGAAAAAAATAGTGATGGACCATTCAAAAATTGAGTAGGTACACATAAACAAGTGTAATCAGGGCCGGATTTAGAGGTCGAGAGGCTTCGGTGCAACAAAGGAGTGGAGGACCACTGGCCCCAAATTATTTTCCAAATAAATAATGTAAAGAAAAAACTTTTCTTTCACATTTTTCAGATTTTTTTCCAAAGCTTCTGTTGTTGGGGCCTCTTTTTGTGGAGGCCCCGGGGTTGTTGTCTCGGTTGCCCTCCCCTAAATCCGGCCCTGAGTGTAATTCCTGTGTAAAATCTTTGAATTTTGAATTTTTGAATCTACTTACAGTCCTATGCACCATTCCAATTCGTTCCATCTCACTTCAGGTTTTTCCTTAATTAAACTATTCATGGCTACCAACAAAGCCTTCGGGTCACTCTCCGTGACGTAGCACTGCAGATCTATGAAGAATTCCTGGTCGCCCTCTAGCGGCACTTCTTGTAAATTAATCGGTTGCATATCACAGTTGTTCACAGTATATTCCCTAACTATTTGTACATTCACCACATAGGCCAACTTGGCTAACACTAACGCGCGCATAACATCCAAATATAAAATAACATTTTTCCACTCATTGTCGGAACTCGATTTGACTAAATTCGTTATTATACGACTACAAAGTTCCCCGGAGAATTTTCCTGAAAATAAAACGTTTATTGAACATTCTATTCTATAAAGTATAATATCAGGCAACACATTTCTATAAAATAAATCTAAAAACCATACCTAAAATCAAAGCGCTCCTCGCCAGAACTGGAACGAAGATATTGACTGTGTCCTTAACATTCCTCTCCAAGGGATCTTTCAGGAAATTGAACATGAGATTCTCTAGTTGTCCGTACTTATGTTCCGCCACAGGACAGATGAGGCAGGCGGATTTCAAGCCCAGTCCCCTTATGTCTGGTTCGTTTGATTCGCACATGAGCATTACTAGGCTAAGTAAAAGAGACGTGCATAACTCTATGGGTACGTAGGGCGCTATGGCCACGCATATTTGGCTGGCTAGCACCCGCCTTTCAGTGGATCTTGATGCGAGTAGCTCCGCTATGGAGGATAGCACTTCGCCGCTGCCGCCCCACTTCACGATCAGACACGTGGCTACAATTGAAAAGAAGCATAAATTGTAAGGTCTTACAATAAATATGATGACAACATGCTTTTAATGTCTAAGCATCTTTACACAATAGGTAGGCGTTACTGTCACCGTAATAGTACTTATTATTATTCTGTGCAGTAATGTTGACACTTTAATCTTGATATAATCATTGGCGTATCTAGGCTTTATTTTCAGGGGGGCCTGTGCCTGACATGCCATGACACTGGAGAGGGACTAGGGGCGTCCCACCGCGGCCCCCCCGTTATAAACCCACATGGATATAATAATTCTAATGATTGTAACCCCGAATTTTTGAGTCAATCCAAACCTAAGGGAAGTGAAAAATATAACACTATCCACTAACCTTCGCATATAGCTCTGGTGTCGGCCGGCAGGGGCTTTTTGACCAGCGTGAGCAGAGTATGTAGAACGCGCGCGCGCCGCTAATCTCCTGGCGGTAATAGCGCGGCGCCGGACGCTAACAGCGCCGCGCTAATAGCGTGTGGGGCATTACACTAAGTCAAGTGTCCACTCACCCTCGCATATAGCCCTGGTATCTGCCGGCTCAGGTTTCTTCACGAGCGTGAGCAGAGTATGTAGAACGCGCGCGCGCCGCTAATCTCCTGGCGGTAATAGCGCGGCGCCGGACGCTAACAGCGCCGCGCTAATAGCGTGTGGGGCATTACACTAAGTCAAGTGTCCACTCACCCTCGCATATAGCCCTGGTGTCCGCTGGCTCAGGCTTCTTAACCAGCGTGAGAAGAGTGTGTAATACGCGCGCGCGCCACTGATCTTCTGGCGGTAATAACGCCGCACCGGCCGCTAACAGTGCCGCGCTTATAGCGTGTGGGGCATTACACTTAGTCAAGTGTCCACTCACCCTCGCATATAGCCCTGGTGTCCGCTGGTTCAGGTTTTTTCACGAGCGTGAGCAGAGTATGTAGAACGCGCGCGCGCCTATGGTCCCCCGGTGGTAATAGCGCGGCGCCGGACGCTAAAAGCGCCGTGCTAATAGCGTGTGGGGCATTACACTAAGTCAAGTGTCCACTCACCCTCGCATATAGCCCTGGTATCCGCTGGCTCGGGCTTTTTGACCAGCGTGAGTAGAGTGTGTAATACGCGCGCGCGCCGCTGGTCTCCTGGCGGTAATAACGACGCACCGGCCGCTAACAGTGCCGCGCTTATAGCGTGTGGGGCATTACACTAAGTCAAGACGTGTCCACTCACCCTCGCATATAGCCCTGGTGTCCGCCGGTTCAGGCTTCTTCACGAGTGTGAGAAGAGTATGTAGAACGCGTGCGCGCCTCTGGTCCCCCGGTGGTAATAACGCCGCACCGGTCGCTAACAGCGCCGCGCTAATAGCGTGTGGGGCATTACACTAAGTCAAGTGTCCACTCACCCTCGCATATAGCCCTGGTGTCCGCTGGCTCAGGCTTCTTAACCAGCGTGAGAAGCGTGTGTAATACGCGCGAGCGCCGCTGGTCTACTGGCGGTAATAGCGCCGCTCCCGCGGCTAATAGCGCCGCTGCTTCACATCACCGCGCTACTAGCGTGTGGGGCATTACACGTCAAGTGTCCACTCACCCTCGCATATAGCCCTGGTGTCCGTTGGTTCAGGTTTTTTCACGAGCGTGAGCAGAGTATGTAGAACGCGCGCGCACCTCTGGTCCCCCGGTGGTAATAGCGCGGCGCCGGACGCTAAAAGCGCCGCGCTAATAGCGTGTGGGGCATTACACTTAGTCAAGTGTCCACTCACCCTCGCATATTGCCCTGGTGTCCGTTGGTTCAGGTTTTTTCACGAGCGTGAGCAGAGTATGTAGAACGCGCGCGCGCCTTTGATCTCCTGGCGGTAATAGCGCCGCGCCCGCGGCTAATAGCGCCGCCGCCTCACATCGCCGCGCTACTAGAGTGTGGGGCATTATCTGGGGAATGGAGTTCGATTTTAAGAAAATTAAGAATTAGATGCCATCGACAAAGACACGGGATGCGTGTCTTTGTCGCGCGTGCGCGTCTTCGTGGATGATGTAATAATCATTCATTATTTTTCTTATTTAACTTTTTAAGAACCGTTTTATTGCGTTGATTTAATAAATCAGTAACCTGTTTAATAATAATCAGTTTTAGAATACTACAAGCCATATTTAAAATTATTTCTCGATTCGCCATTATTTATTTAGGCATAGAAAACAGATGAAACGCAATATTATTTACATAAGCGCGCATATTATGTACGCAAATATCACGTGTACATGCTACGTATATGACGTATACCCGTTAATTAGTGTACATTATAACAGATAAACTGTAATAAAATGATAATGTTACTATCAAAGTCTTATTTCACTGAATGAAATACTCACGCGAGGCAATGTATCAGCTACTAAAGTGAGAAGACCAGGCAGCGTGATTGGTTTGTCGCTTGTCACAAGTTCCGCGAGCAAATCGTTGGCTAGTGGTTCGTTCAAGCTGAGCGTCTCACAGCACCAGTTCAGAATCGACACCTTCAAGTTGTTTGGTAGACCACTGTAAAAAATAATTCAAGCATTACCTTACGTAATTAATCTCAAAACTCGATTTAACCAGCTAGAGCATATAGATTGTTTCCATAAATAATATCGAAACTGAAGCCACGATAGTCGAATGGTGAATGGGGTCGGACTGGCCGACTCAACATGCAAGGAACGCAGGTTCGAAACCCACCGCCGCTCGACTATTGTAGTGAGCCCATTCGTAAAATATGCATATTTAATTTAGGGCTACTTTAGAAATTACAGAAAATAATAAATATTTATTCCTGGATTATTATATTCAACATTCATTATCATCAAATCAAAAATCAAAAGATATCCTTACGAGCGTATTCACAAACGATGCTTGCTTAGTGAAGCAGCAAATCGAACGCACAGCGTTAAACAAACTAAACTTTGTGACTGGTTCATGTGTCACCCTGTGCGCACTGTGAGACCTCATAGTAATGTTTGTGAATACGGGCGTATATCACTACTTACCTATCTATCCACATCTCCTTGCAAGTGTTCTCGCCATACTCGTACTGCACGCGGGTCCACTCGCCCGCATCATTGATGCTGAGGGTCTCGTCGAGGGTAGTCACGCTGCCGCGCCGCAGCGGCGAGTCACGCACGCTGTCCATTTGCACCGGGTCGAAGGAGCTGGTGTTCGAACCCTCTTTTCTTCTGGAAGAAAGTCGATGGAGTAAATGATAATCCTACTAATATTATAAATGCGAAAGTTTGGATGTCTGGATGTTTGTTACTCTTTCACGCAAAACTACTGAACGGATTTCGATGAAACTTTTCAGTATTATTGTTTATAACCCAAAATAACATATAGGCTATAATTTATGACGATCTGTGACAAACGAAATTTCATGCTGGTGAAGCCGCGGGCAAAAGCTAGTAATTGGTGTAAAAGCTGCGCACATGCTATTGGTAGAACAGTGTGCCTTCAGTGGAGAAAAAACGCAAGTTCATCGCCATCAAGCAAAAAGAAGAAGAATATATCCTTGGACATTTTACACTGCACCTCTAGTCCCAAACTAAACTAAAATTTAGTTACCTAACACTTATCTACTACCTACCTACTTACTCTATGAGCAATAAATAAGTACATTTATATGCACACCACCTTCAACAGACAGGAATTTGATTATGCTAATCAGTTCATTGTCCATGGTGTAATAATAATCATGAATTTGCATTAGAGTATAACCTATGCTATGTAATATTATAAAGCCTTAACAAAAAGCACTTCAAAAAACCTGATGGTATGTTATAAATAACTTGAATTTAGAACAAGTTGGATAATTCTGTACTAGATTTGGTGATCTCACTAAGAACTCAGCAATTCAGCATACTTATAAAAATAAGTTTTTACTTACACAACACTATTTTTCTCGCTATCAATCATCTCAAACTGTTCCGGAGTGACACTGTGCGTTGAATGACCACTACCATAATGGTTCTCAGAAGCTGTGCAAGGCAACGGTCTATTATCTAACGGCTGCTCCAACCTCCCATCTGCTTTTTGTACTGACAACAGCTTTTCATCGGAAATTTGCAAGTCTAACCCCTTGTTCTCTGATGTAGGGCTTGTAAGGGAGTTTAAGCTGACAATGGCAGCATCATACAACTTCTGAAAGTTCAGCTTTTCAGTTTCCAATGCTATGATTTTCTGCTTCAGTAGCTCTATCTCTTCTGCTTGGATTAATAGCTGTAACAAATGAATTTTGGATTGTAAATACCAATATTTGTATAGTTAAGGATTTATTTCACTGTACAGACAGTAGCACATCAAGCGAAATATTGTGGCATCTTATGTATTTAAAATAGGAGTTATTTTGCAACAAAAATATGCTGTTGATTGTACAAATTTAGAATAAGTCAGCCCACCTCATGATTCCAATCAGTATCAACATCCAATGAAGTCTGGCAGCTCACACACACATTCCCTTCTTCAATGTCAGTTTGGCTGTCAATATCCATTACTTGAATGTCCACTTGAGTACTGGCATCCACTTTGGGCATGTTCAAAGCGGTGTTGCCCCAGAACAGAGACACCAGGCCGGCTGGTCTGGGCATGTTTAAGCCAACATCGTCCCAATCTTCAAATTCCTTAAACATATCAAAATATTAAAAGGTGATGACTAAAACTATATTCTTAATTTGAACATTAATAATTTAGGAACACATAAATGTATCATAGCATTTTTAACATACCTGATCAGGATTTTCATCAGAAAATGTGATGGATGTGAGTTTGTAATCTTGAAGTAAAAGATACTCATTGATAAGGAAGTTCAAGGCTCTTTTTTCATGTGGCTTCAATGATCTTTGATTAAATTTATCTTTAGCTGTTTTATCTAAAGTGGACTCTCCGTCTGAAAAAATTAAGTCAAGATTACTTTACAAACTGTGTAAATATTAATTTGTAATATTGAAAACAACACAAACAGCTTTGGGCTGGCTTTTCCTTATTTAGACTTAAGTATCCCCATAGTAGATTAGTAGTCCCGCCTTAGGCATTTCAAGTTAAAGTTGTTTAATTAAAAAAAAAAATAGTAGACTATGTACTCAAATACCTAGATCTCTATATTGAGCTGAACATTATTATAAATTATTACACTAAGCAATGAGCTTACCAGCAAACTGCGTCAGATTAGCCCTTAGTGAGTTGATGGTTTCACGAGCCTTCCTTAATTCAAACTCCAGCACTGCCAAGTCACCTCCACTACCACCTCGATCGCCCCCTCCGTCTTCAGAGTAGCGTGCAGTGTCCAAGGAGTCCAAGGTAGCCTGACTTGGTGTCCGGTCTAGATTATAATAGCATTATAAGAATGATCATTATTACTGTCTCAATCCATCGATAGTTTAAGGTCTTTATACATTAAATATGAGCTAAGAATAAATAAATTTTACGTACGCATTGATCCAAACTCGGAAGCACGAGAAACATGTTGCTCAAAATTCCCAGGATTTGAAAAGAACTCTCGTAACTGTGGCAGCTCCTTGCCACTTTCAACTAGCTCAGTATGCAGCTCCAAAGCCGATAAGAAGAAGTGATCTTTTAGGAGCTTCGTCGCAATGTCCTCGTAAGTTAGGTGAGGAGAAGTTGAGAAGGAACTTTCTTCGACATCCTTATAAGGATTCATTGTTGATAAATGCAACACATTAACACATTTCAGATCAGAGAGGACTACACTTTCATTATTGTTAAAAAGATTAGCTTTTGCTTTAGAATAGAGCGATTTTTTTTATTTTGTAAATAATTTTCGTACACAATCGTCAATCGACTGATTGATTGATTGATGATTGATTTTGACACCACTAGTCATACGTTTTTTGACATTTGGGCAAATGTTGCCAGTAAATCAATTAATGACTTTGACCTATACACGTAGATGGAGGCATCTCTAGGCGTCCGAACACGACAATGTGTCTACTAACTTGATGTGCTGTCTTTCTAACACCAAATTTTTATAACGTGTTTTTCCCTATACATACAATCAACAAAAACATATTAACATTTTTGTAGGCAATATTGTTTTTTTGAAGATTGTGTATAGCAAAACACATACAGAGCCCCGATTACGGTAACTTTTAACGTCAACAATCCAGACACGCTTCTCGATTCTGAGATACGATTGGTCAAAACAGCTGACATACGCTGTTGAACGACCAATCGTATCGCAGAATCGAGAAGCGTGTCTGGATTGTTGACGTTAAAAGTTACCGTAATCGGGGCTCTGGCTTATATGTAAACTGGCAAAATGACATTTAAACAAGGTGATAAATCCAATATGGATGGATCTTACAAAGAGATACAAAAGATACGATGGCCGATCCGATTCTATACGATATCCCAAATTAAAAAAACAATTGTCTATGCTCTGTGATTGTCACTGTCAAATTCAGTGTCGTTGACTGTTTGGTTTGGATTGTTTGAAGAAATCAAAACAAAATTTACAAAAAATGAAAACTTCTGAATTGTAAACTAAATAAAAATAACTGAACCTAAAATTAGATTATTTACAAATTATTTGTATAATAAATAAGAAAGAATACAATATGGGTGAAGCGTATTTCAACTTGAAACGGAAACTCGAAGATTTGGGTTACAGCAATTCGTTACCAGTCGACGCAGTGCCTTTGGTAGAATGTATTCTTGCAGATTTGCTACAAACCACCCGAAGTCTTCAACACTACATGGATTTGTCAAAGGAAGCTTTGATGCAGCGTGATTCACTAATGTTAGAAGCTGAACCATACAAGTGTGATAATGCTAAGCTTATTCAAGAAAACAATCAGCTTCATAGAGAAGTTTTAAAATTAAAAGAAGAAAATCTGCGCCTGTCAAAAGAAGGTAAGAGAAAGATAAAAATGTTGTCCGAAGAACTTGCTAAAAAGGAAGTCATTGTAAGTAAATTACAGCATGATGTTAGAGATCTTAGTCTCAGAGGTTTGTGTGCTGATACATTGAGCTCTAGGAACAAGAGCAAAAGGAGAGACGGGGGTGACACCCAGACTTCTAAAGTGTGTATCTGTAGTGATAAGAAACCCTGGGACCTGGATAAAGATGTGATGGAATTAAACCAAAAGATTCAGCTACTAGAAGAAAAGAATGAGGCCTACAATGATGAAGTATTTTTATTAAAAAATCAAGTGGAAAACAGAGATCATGAAATTGTAAGGTTGAATATTTTGCTAGAAGGAGGCCGCTCTTTATCTGCTGTCAACAAAGATTGCTGTCATTTAAATTCAGATGGAAAAATGCAAGATTTATTCAAAGAAATACGTGAAATGGAAACATCAAATGAGTTATTGAAAAAGGAAATTGAAATTGGACTAGAAAAGCAACATGAGGCAATGCTACGAGCACTGTCACTAGCTGATAAGAACAAGGCATTGCAAGATGAGCTACAAAAAGTAGATACATTAGCCCTCAAAGTTGAAGATGACTGCAATAAAAGGTTGGCAGCCATGATGAATGAAGTTAACTTTTTGCAAACCAGAATAGAAGGATTGACCTTAAAAAACATGGAGTTGGAGAAAGAAATGTCCCAGCAAATGTTAAGAGGAAGCTCTTCAGGGACCCAAAAAATTCAGAAGTTACTCAGTGGAACAATAAAAGAAAAGGAAGCTTTACAGAGGGAAATAACAGACTTAGTGGAATTGAATAAGAGCTTGCAAGAAAAAATAATAACTTTGTCTCATATAAGTAAAACTGCTAGCTCAGAAAATATTGAATATAGGTCAAAAGACAAGAAGTGTCCATCAAAAGAAGAACTATTGGTTATACTGGATAATGATAGAAAAAAGTATGAAAAACATATGATAGACATTCAAGATAAACTTTCTGAAACTATGAGTTTGTTTAATAAACATTTAGGAAAATGTAAAGACAAAGAAAGTCTTAGATTTAACTCATTCAATGATAGTTCTTATGTTAGAGATCTGCAAAACAGACTTTGTGAAAGTGATCAGAAGATGCTAATGCTAAAAAAAGAGAATGAAGATTTAAAAAGTAAAATGCACAAATCAGGTGAAGGTAATAGGCAAAACTATAAAGATGTTATTAGTCAACTGAATGCTGAGAATACTGAATTATCCAAGGAAAACATTTCATTGAGTCAGCAATTAAGTCAATGTAGAAGTTTGCAATCTGCTAAACTCAATGAAAGGGGTGATTATGGCAGATCAGATATTCAAAAATTAAAGGCAAAAGTGGATGAATTAACATATGAAATTCAAATAGTAAACAAAGACAAACAAGAGTATAAACTAAGGTATAAAGAAGCTATGGAGACAGTTGAGAAATTAAAAGGTGACTTAGCATTCAAACAAAGAGAAATGGAGCAATTGCAAGAAGAAAATGTATCTTATAAAATGACACATAGAAACGGAAAAGCTTCAGTTGATCATTTGAAAGAAGAATGTAATTTCTTGAGAGAACAAATAAAAAGGATGCAGTCAGATGTAATAAAAGAAAAAACATTGGCAAACCAGATAAAAAATATACAACTAGAGACAGAAAGAAGTAGCAGTGAAGTGCAGAATGAACTATTATCCACTCAGAAGAAACTATGTCTCTCAAAAGATACTATTGATGCTTTAGAGAAGAGATGCAATGATTTACAATCAGAAATACTATCTTTGAAAAGTGATAAATCTAATTTAATTGACAATATAAGGAAAGTTGATCAGGAGCGCGATAAATTAGTAATAGAACTAGACCATAAAACAGAAACTGTAAGTGTTCTGGAGCAGAAGTTAAAGTCACAATCATATGAAGTCAACAAATTAGAAAATGAAATAGCTGAACTGAAAAGAAAATTAAATGTAAACAAAGTATCAGAACATAAACTATCAGACTATGAATCCCAAATTGCATTTTTAAATGGTGAAATATTGAGACTAACACAACAACTTGATTCTTCTGTAATTGAAAATAAGCATTTGCAAAACAGTTTGGCTGATACAAATGGAACTCTTAGACTAACCAGGATTGAGTATGACAAATCTAGAAAAGAAGTGGATAGTTTGAAACAGCAGCTACAGCATTATGTTGCTGAAGTAAGAAGAATTGAGGAAATGTTATCTCAGAAAGAAGCAGAGAGATCTGATATGTTGGAACAGTTTGCTAGTCTTTCTGTAGAAGCAAATATATTGGAGAATACCAATCACTCCTTGGAAAGTGAGTCTGCTTCAAAATCTCAACAATTACAAAGTTACATTAGTAAAATCCAAAGTTTGGAAGCAAAGTTGATGGACAAAGAGAGTATTATAGAAAATCAGTCAGCTCGAGTTTCTGCTATGACTTGCAAAATTAGTTCATTGGAGAATGAAATAAAACTTATGGCAGAAGAAAAGATTATACTGGAACAGAATTTGACATATTTAAAACAAATGTGTAATAACTTACAAACAGAAAATGCAAGTAACAGTAGATGTGCTGGTGAAACTGACTCAGAATTAAAACTTTATGAAAATAGAATTAAATCTTTGTCTAATTCTAAAGCTAAGTTAGAAGTGGAGAAAGAAGAAATGAAAGAAAATTTGATGACAACAGAAAGACTGCTTTCAAATGCAAGACAGGAAATTGTGGAGCTAAAATTGGCATTACAAGATGCAACTTCTGAAACTAAGAGTTTGCAAGATCAAGTTAATAAATTGAGTAGAAAAGAAGCAGACATTCATGAGGTTAGTGTTCACTATTGAATTTTGAACTCTTATGAAGTAGCAAATGAATGATTTTCCTTTTTAATTAATTTTTAATTGTTTCATTACAGGCTACAATGACAAGAGAACTTGAGCTGCCATTGATGTTAGAAGAGACAATACATGAAGTGAGTCATGAAGAGGATGATGACAGTTTGCGATTTCATGAGGTTCACAAGAGATTCTCTAAGTATTCTCATAGTGGAACTATTTAATTTCTTTAAATTAATTACCTAATTGATTAATGTATATCATTAAATGTTGCATGTGAAGCACTTTACAGGGTTAAAATTGTTTTGTATGAAATAGTTATTGTTCTTATCATGTACATACTTAGTTCTTGTGACTTGAAGTTATGTAATTTAAATACTTTAACATTCTTTCATATTAGAAAATGAAATAAAAATGTTTATTTAAAAAAATTAAGTAATTTATTAGTTTTAAATAAATATACTAAATTGTATTGTTTATATAAACTTTTTTAATTAACTCCATAGGTATACATATTGCGTAGGTACAACAAAGACACTAGCTTCATTATTTACAGTATTTGATTACCAAAATAAATAAAATAGGTACTATACAAGGGGTAGGAGTAGCAACAATATAGCAGACCAAGTACATAGTAAATTGATGGTTCACTATATTGTTACTAATAATGTGTGAATAACATAAATTGTAAAGAACTACATTCTCAATACTAAGGTACCTCTACAGTCCCTGAGCTGTTATAACTAATAACAAGGCCTTGTACTGACTGCTCACAGACTTATTCATTATACATTGTAATGTAAGTACAAAACATCTCTCTATTTTTTTAAAACATGTCATCTTGTGCAATATTGTTAATACCTTGATATTCATGTTTGACAGTTTTTTCTATCGATTCCAGATACAAATTCTTATATGAAATTAACTAATCAGTTTGACATATTAACGGTGGGTTCTATTAAGTCCACAATGAACATAGCAATCTAACCTACATAATATTGCATAGTTTTATTTAAATTTATAGGAATGAATACCACATTATGTGCAGTATTTATTTATTTAATACACCACCCATACCAATAACATACATATTTTTTACAATCTTTGTAACAAGTTTAATTCCAACCACTTATAGGCCACAGCATCACAATGTACCATATAAACTATTGTTTTTATATCTATAATTTATTTTCCAATACTTCAAACCCCTCAACATTTTTGAGGAATGGACTAGTTGAAGGCAAAGGGTATACATGTTTATTATTTTATGACAGTTATATAAAAAAGTATGCAAAACATATAATACAATAAGATCTACAGTATTTACAATAAGTAGGTATACCAAACAATTTTAATATGAGTATTTGTACAAAGTACATGTGGAAATCATGCATTGGAATTCAGCACCCTATCTTATTTATTCATCTACTATAATTAAGATAATTGACTTTCAATTCATCTGACCCATAATGAAAGAGCTGGTTGTAACTGCAGTATCTACCATACATTACAAAGTGGCTAAAATTCTAGTAAACCCAATACCAGCACCAAGCACTGTCTGTCCGATGCCCCATATCATAGCATGAATGGGCATCATCTTCAAGTTGGCAGCCCGGTAAATAAACGCAACCGCGGCACTGCTAGCTACGCCTGAAGTCACTGGATTCACTACGCCCATCACGATTAGTAGCACGGGAAAGAACTTGCCATATTTGTGCTTCCTTAACGTTGCGAAGGCGACGAGCGCGGCACAAGTATGCACAAACACCGAAGAACATAACGACCACAAAAACACTGGGTACCACATCTCGCCGAAAGTGTCCAATGGATCTACCGATGTTAGTCGCAGTATGTCAACGAACGAATCAAATTCTGATACTCGAAACTCAGACAACATGTCATACATGTTGCCTTTCGTATTTTCAAGCTCATTTGCATCGGGGTAGTTTTATCGTACATACAATTTGAATAACACTCATTGAATGCTAATTCCTTGACAACTTTTTGTTCACTTCGTAAAAATGGATTTGTACTTCTAACATCTCCTTGGCAAGGCAACGAAAGGAATAAACGTATGTAAAGAAACCATTATTTCGATTTAAAAGTACTGTTATATAGTAAAACCGTCATTACACTTTTATCGACATAACGTAATGAATCGCAGAACAATCAATTCGTACACAAAAATTGAACCCAAACCCAATTTTATCATTTTATCTGACAGCTGACAGCTCACTCCAGACTGACAGTGAGTGACACACAAACAATACATGACATTGACAGTTACATTGATTTATTACTTATAAGATTAAGCATGTAATGGAATTTTCCATCACCACTACGTAGAATGAATTCAAATTCAAATCGTATCGATCGTATTGTTATTTCAATCCAATACAAGGCGTGCCTGAACCTTTAGACGCTAGGTTGAACCTTAAAAAAATGAGTGTTTATGTAATTTTGTTTGAAAGACCCGACTTTGAACCGTGTAGAGATATTGAAGTCACGTTTTACCACTTGTATAAGGCGCTCTATGCTAAGTTATAGTATCTTTGGTAAAATTGTTTTCATTGATTGACATTTTGAAAGACGTGAAGTTAGCTGGAAATAACCTGACTGTACTGATTAAGCGGAATATTATTTTAATAATTTTAACGATTAGCAGTTTTAATTCTATATAATAATCATAGCTTGAAAACATTTGTGAGTTAATTGATAAGATTAATAGTTAATTTAGCGGCTATAAGGTAAGTTTGAAAATATTTTCGATCTTTGTTAGAGGTATGATTAACCTGAAGTTAGCATACAATCGGTCATATGTCTTGGGCTGGGGTTGTAAATGTCAAAAACAAAATCTAACCTCTACTGCGTTATTGTTGACCGCGTGAGATTTTAGTGCAAAAGTTAAATAATTAGTAAAAATAGTGTATATATAATCAGTAATAATGGGCAAAGTAAGATCAGCCCCGGGGGCTCCCCGGAAACAAGGCTTTAACAAATCTGGGCACTCTATGAACCCAGATAGACCGACGGAAGGTTTGAAAGCTGTTGGGAACCCCAGAACAAAAGGAACGATCAAGAGGTTGCAGATGTACCGGAATTTTAAAGCCAAAAGAGATAAAACTGGAAAAATTTTGAGTCCTGCTCCTTTCCAAGGTTGGTTGCCTTCAGGTACACGAGCTCGCGTGGAACCTAACCAAAAATGGTTTGGCAATTCTCGTGTAATTTCGCAAAACGCTCTACAAAAATTTCAAGAAGAGTTTGGAGCAGCAATCAAGAACCCGTATCAAGTTGTGATGAAACCTACAAACTTGCCTATATCACTACTTAATGAGAAAGCAAAGAATGCTAGAGTCCATTTGCTAGATACAGAAGGCTTCGATAAAACTTTCGGGCCTAAGAAACAGAGAAAGAGAGTCAATTTAAAGTTTGGTGATTTACAATCACTGTCAAAAGCAGTCGAAGAAAATGTAGAAAAGTATGATGAGAATAAAGATATAGACAGAGTGAGGGAAGATACAGGAGTCAAAGAAGGTCAAAGGGACTGGGTGTTTGGTGCTGGGATGAGTCGTCGTATATGGAATGAGCTGTACAAAGTAATTGATTCATCAGATGTCTTGTTACAAGTCCTCGATGCCCGTGACCCCATGGGCACAAGAAGTCCATACGTTGAAAAGTTTTTGAGAGATGAGAAGCCACATAAACATTTAATTTTCATTCTGAACAAAGTTGATTTGGTACCTAACTGGGTAACACAGCGATGGGTTGCTATATTGAGCGCTGAATATCCTACAGTTGCTTTCCATGCCTCCCTGACACATCCATTCGGAAAAGGTTCACTTATCAACCTACTCCGACAGTTTGCTAAACTACACATAGACAAAAAGCAAATCAGTGTAGGTTTTATTGGATACCCAAACGTTGGTAAATCTTCTGTTATTAATACATTGAGATCCAAGAAGGTTTGCAAAGTGGCACCAATTGCTGGAGAAACAAAAGTCTGGCAATACATTACTTTAATGAAAAGGATATACTTGATTGATTGTCCTGGAATAGTTTATCCTTCTGCAGAAACAGATACTGAGAAGGTATTGAAAGGAGTTGTGAGAGTAGAGCTAGTACAAAATCCTGATGATTATATTGAAGAAGTCATCAAAAGAGTGAGGAAAGAATATTTGATCAAGACATACAAAGTTGATGGATGGGACACAGCAACAGAATTTTTGGAAAAACTTGCTGCTCGAACTGGTAAATTGTTGAAAAAGGGAGAGCCAGATGTTAATCAAGTTGCAAGAATGGTTCTTAATGACTGGCAGAGAGGTAAACTTCCCTTCTATGTGGCACCTGAAGGTTTTCAAGTACCTTTATCAAAACAACAAAACGAAGATGAAATAAATGTAGCAAAAGCAACTACTGAAGAAACAAACAAAGAGGTTGCAGCTGATACTCCTCAAACAGAAGTAGAAGATGTACCTGAGAAGCCAACTATGACTGTTAATAAATTGGTAATAGCTCAAGACTTTGCTAAAATTAGAGTAGGTCTACAGTTTGACAATGAAGATGATGTTAAACCACTAAAGAAATCCAAAATTCCTGATGAACTTAAAGGAATTGATGAACAAAATGAGGAAGATGAAAAACCAAAAGAGGATGATGAGTCAGAAACAGATGATGAAGCCCAGGATAAAACTCAAGAAGATAATGATGATTCTTCAGATATAAGTGATTTCTACAGTAATGATGAAGCTGAATGCAGTGATGTGGAAGACCATTTGACACATGACGATAATACAATTAAAGACTTGAAACGGAAAAGGCTTGAGGCTGCCAGTGGAGCATTCATTGTTGATGAGATACCTACTAAAGCAAAGAAGAGTGAGAATGTAAAGGTGGGAAAGAAAATGACTGCCAAGCAGAGGAGAGCAGTAGAAAGGGCACAGAGGCGGACCAAGACAGGAAGCAACTTTTATGAAGTTGCTAATGTTAAAAATAGGAATAGAAATAAGAAAAAACCTGTGTAAAATTTGTTTCAAATAAATAAATTATTTTAAAACATTTTTTTTATTTACCTTACTTTATTGTTTTGAAGTCTGTAGCTGGAATACTCTATTGTAGGTAACTACATTTTTAATTTTTATTTTGACCTTTGTATTTGCCAAAAGAGTTTTTGAAAGTTAGTCTTTGTTAATTTCACAACAAAAGTTTTCATTCTTACATGGGTTTTTGTTAGGGCGCTGATAAAAGTACCTACATAACTACGTATGTAAAGGGCATGGCCTGCACCTCACGAAGTAAGAGCTAATAATTTATTTAATTCACATTTAACTTGTACTTTTACAAACGACGGCATTGTAACATTATTTTGCCTTTCGGTTTGCAGCAGGCGTTCGGCTGTATTGATTAGTAAAAGTATTTTGTAGTCCCTTAATCCTATCTAAAAATTCTATAATTTTTTCCTTAGATGTCATCCGGCAGTGAGAGTGATGACGACTACGTACCTGGAGAACCTGAGCAGCTCTCTGAAGAAGAATCTGCCGACGATGAAACCGACTTACAGTATGAAAAAGAAGTAGAACACAAAGCTAAAAAACGAAAAACAGCTGCAGCAGCAAAAACTACAAAGAAAAGGAAAACAAGAAACGGTACAAAGGAACCTACTCCTGAGCCGGAAGAAAAGAAAGTCGAGCAGCCTGAACAAATTGATCCTGTGGACGAGAAAAAAAAAGAAGACGACTTATGGGCTAAATTTCTAGAAGGAACAGACTCCAAACCCAAACCCACCGCAAATGTATCGAGTACAAATAATGAACCAGTTAAACCGGTAGTAGATAAAGTAAAACCTGAGACAAAGGTTGAAAATACAAATGATGATAAAGCGAGAGAGAAACGAATATTTGAATTTGCTGGGGAAACTATTGTCGTAGAAAACAACGTCATAAAAGAGAAGATAAAAACTGCTGAAGCTCCCGCCTCAGGTGAGTTTAAGTTAAATCTATAGCTAAATCATCATCATCATTTCAGCCATAGGACGTCCACTGCTGAACATAGGCCTCCCCCAATGCTTTCCACGTTGATCGATTGGTCTGCGTCCAGCGCTTCCCTGCTACCTTTACGATGTCGTCGATCCACTTTGTAGGTGGACGTCCCACGCTGCGTTTTCCGGTATGCGGTCTCCATTCCAGAACCTTGCTGCCTAAATAGCTAAATAGGATATAAGTTTTATTTTGTAAACCATTTGCATTCACTTTACTGTGCCTCGTCGGACAATACCTACCCCTTATCAATATTTTCTAAGCGCAAAAGTCGGGGGTTGTTAATTGACTTATATTCCTGATCTTATAATCTAATTTTGTTGTTTTCAGCAAAGATTCAAGTTGGGTCGTCATCTCGCGGGTCGTCGGGTCTGTCCGGTGTACTCGGCCAACTCAACAAGAAAGACAAATTATCCACCTTAGAGAAGTCGAAGCTTGATTGGACTACATACAAACAACAAGAGGGGCTTGATGAAGAAATTCAAAGTCACAATAAAGGGAAATCGGGGTAAGTTACTTAATTTGTTTTTGATTCACAAGTGGTTCTTTCCTGTTATCACGCGGATAGGAAAAACATGTATGAAATAATGAAATGCGGGCAGCCCACATGTAAATCAGCGGGGCTATTCCGAAAAACGTAATCCGAAGTTTCGAATATTGCCATCCCTCTTACAAAAATCGAGATACCAGCATGAGCGGTGATGAGCGACGGTAACAGATAGACCTGAAACAACGTGAACAGCATTTCGGAGTAGCCCCCCAGATCCGCACGCGTGCCGAAATCCGCATCACAGGAAAAGGGCTCTAAAGTTGTTACATAGAATTGGCATTTAATAATTTGTAGATCTAAGTAATACAAGGTGGTTAGTTCCACGAATACTATACTAGTTTGCGGAAATAGTTTTCTAAAGGAGCAATTGTTTTTAATTGCAGTTATTTGGACCGTCGAGATTTCCTGGAACGGGCAGATCTCCGTCAGTACGAAATTGAGCGTGATCTGAGACTCAGCCGACGAAGCAATCGGTAGGACACCTAACCAACGAGGGCTTGGCAGCTCAATTACTCGTAAATATTCGTTAGCGACAACTTTCAACGTCTGATTAAATGTTAATTGCATTAATTGTGACTGATTTAATCTGACTTATTAAGCCATTTGTTACGATACTGAATAATTTTGTACAACGATTTGTGTAGTGCGTACAGTGACCGCCCCTAGTGGTGGTTAATTGAAATTTTGTTCGTCTCATGATACATAAGTTTAGGTACATGTTTATGTAACTATGTGAATCTTTAATAAATGTCGCTCTCAATAATAAACACGTTTACGTAACAATGTTTTTCTTTTCATACCCAAAATGCATAATTTCATTGTCTGCTGTATGTAGCAATCGTCTCAAAAACGGTCATTGGGTCATTGACAATACATCTAGGACCATTGTCTTGTTATGTGTTGCGGTACGAGTAGCTCAAAATACTTCATAAATTATTTTATGCAGATTTTTTCAATACCTAGGTATAATCACAGTTTCCAAAAATACATCTTGCACAATAGATTACGAAATTAATCTTAAATTTTGAATTACCTAACATTTTTCACATAAATAATTATTTAATTAAAAATAAATTTTGAGCTAATGAACATGACATTATTTTTGGGCTAAAATACACTTATACCTACAGTTTATTTTTAATACATAATACAGTATAAAGAATTGAAATAGTATTTAAAAACATTGTTATCTAGGTTTAATAAAAACAAGCAGGTCCGGAGCTGTTTTCACACGGCTATGCGCTTTACGTCCGAGATCAAAGTGCGTCAATGTGGCAAGTAATACATTGGGTCAACAGTATCAAACAGACGCAAGGTCCATTTCATCCATTCTTCCCAATCACGTCAATGAGGACGGCTCGCTGGCAATCAATTTCAATCTGGCCAATGCGAGAACCGCCCATTTGGTGCGCTGCATGATTTGCACACGTTGTGCTAATCAAGCACTAAACGTTCCGCGGCCTCGGTGTCGCGTAGCAGTACTGAATTTGTGTCTGCACTCGAGTCATGACGTTATGCTCGTTTTAGGACATTCATAAAGTTTACAATCGAGAATAAGTGTTTGTGATTGTGCTCAAGTGTCTGTATACAGCATGACCGCGTACGGAAGGTGGACGCTGTATGATGGAGGAATGGACGGGGTTCAGGTCAGTTTAGAATAACTTTCTTTTGTCCTAGACATGATAAAAATGATCGCTCCTATGCTAAGGCCATAGAGATGATTTTTGAACAATTAATACATTGACGCAGTTGAGAAATTGTTATTTGATCAGGTATAGCCTAACAGCTATGATGCAAGCTAGCAATAATCGTTGCACGTGCAAGTTTATCGATTAGAAATAGTCACAATCTGACTTACTCATAGTAATAAGTATGCAGTCTAATTTTTATTTGTCTAGTAGAAGTCTCGTTCACATTAAGGTGCTTTGTTCGTACTTACTTATACCAACAAAATTAACTTACCACGACTAATGTTAAAATAACAAAAAATATATATATAGGGTTAGTCCCAACGGCCGATCCACCGGGGCCGTTGGGACTAACCCAGATAAAGATAAATATAGCCATCTATAGGTACATATAACGGAAAACGTAGCGTGGGCAGGGCAGGATCGGTCTTCGTGGAAAATCCTTGGGGGAGGCCTTTGTCCAGCAGTGGACGTCTTTCGGCTGAAACGAACGAACGAACGATAGGTATTTTATAGAAATATTTTTTGTCTGAAATAACTAAGTAGATTATAAAGTATCGTTACCAACCTAGCTGTGTAAGTTAACGCTCTACCTTCAGGTACAGTCTTGACAGATAGAGCCTATTTTTTACCGGGAATGAGTATACACAGCCTTATGGGATGTCCTGTAGAGTCGTTCTGTGGCCTACATTAATCTTAGTAGTCGTTGGCAAAGACACATAGGTTTTAATATTTCCTGGGGGCGGTATCCTGTGTGTAAGGTAGGACGAACAAATACTTGTAGAGTCGCATGTAGTGTAAATGGTTTACATTGAGATATACTCATATCGTAATTTAAAGTCATAACATACCTACTTATTAGTTATTCGTATCGTATTTATTGCACACATAACAAACAGTGGTACAACAGGCGAGTTAGTCAAAGTCGTAGAAGATGAACATAAAAAAGAGAGCCTACCTACTTACTTGTAACTTTTTTTTTTACTTACAATAAGTCTTACTGATCTGAAGAGATGTAATCTTACGTGATCTCTTACATCATCTATCATATTCTCATCAAGGAATGGCAATAACATATTTATTAACATTTGCTGTGACGTGCCTAATAAAAATGTATTTAGGCGCGTTGATTTCTGGAGCTTTGACACGCCAGCTTTGATCTGTATTCATTGCTCAACTCCGCAATACCTCCGAGATGTCGGGAATAAAACAGGAATAAGATAATATTAAGAAGGTACATTTCAGCGTATTTTGAGCCGTAATTTAAAATTGTATTTAGGCAGGTACAACCAAGTGCAATATAAATATCTGGCTTACTTAGAGTTGGATTTTCGATCTGGAAGACCTGGGTTTGATTCAAAGCCCAAGTGGGGCACACACATTGCAAAAGTCTTTATGTATTGTTTTCATTTTTAAGGACTTTAATATGCATGTAGGTCTAATCAACCTGATTGTGTTTAGATTAGAGCGTCTTCGGTCCAATTAGGCCATGTCAGACGCCAATTGCGGCTTGTGTCTGACACCAGAGTTGTGACCTCCATCGTATAAGCCTACATGAATACATGATAAAACAAGAAAAAGTGGTTATTTGGTTAAATTAACGCGACATGGTTCCAATAATTATTTTATTTCTTTCACCTTCATAGTCCAGATACCCGTAGATAATATTATGGTGTTCGATTACCAGTGTTGTCAAACTGTAAAATAGCTGCTTAAGATAAGTAGGATAGATTAATTAATCTGATCTTCCGATAATACGTATGTGGGTATTGTCTGTGTAACAAAACACTACTGATAGATATTATTTGATAATCTTTATAGTTAGTTACTTAGTTGTGTGATATTATGAAACCCCTGAAACATCGTCACTCTTTGTCGACTTTATACCTGTTTATCTAAGAGCAGCGTAATTCGGATAAAACCTTTGTGTTCTCAGTCCGGCCTGTGATAATAATATTATCACCACCTTCGTAGAAAAGGTCTGTTTATTATTCAGACCAAGGTAGGTAAGTAACAGCTTTAGGTTAGTATCGAAAATGAACGCAAGGCTGCCACCCACCTTCGCGACGAATGCTGTGAATGAAAAGGGCTCCCAGACCACTCTATGTAGTATATAGTTGGTATATATCTAGTGGAATGACGTAATCTGGAACGGTGAACGTGAGGAAAGGAAAAGTGGGCGAGCTACCGAGCAGCCTCGCACCCACGCACCCTGTATCCTTCTGCTAGGCGAGATAGGTGTCAAAAATTGCGAGCACCCCTGCCGTGTGCTGGGAAGATAAGAGTAATTGGATCACGTTCAAGAAATTGGTAATGTAGATTCAATACACGCTCGTAAATTGGCTCTTTTTGCGTTTAACTGTTTTTTAAGTTCTTAATGTAACAATAAGTAGGTACAGTGTGTTTTACTTACCTATTAACTCTCACTTACACTCATCACCGCACTAGAAATCAGCAGTTACGAAGATGTCTTTCATTAAAATATTGAAAAGTTCCAAAGGTCTCTTAAGGATTGCGATTATTTTGGAAATTATATTCTGTTAGATTTTGAAATAGGTATTTATTGATAGGTACTCGAACGTGGCAAAGAATTTGTTGGTTTGAAAAATTCACTGTCTCCCATCCCATCATTATTGACACGTCTTGTTACGTGTTACGGACTACAGTTCATGATTCAAACTGCTACTTGTGAGTATTTACCTTATAGTAAAAATAGTCAAGTTTTTTATATTGAATCGTCCAACACGTTGGTCGCCAATTACTTGCCTAGTTATTCTTTTTCTTCTCAAATGTTGTCAGAATTAATCCAGCTTAGGGACTATGAACTAATAATAGAAGTCCATCACTTACATAATATGCCAGCAGCATTTAGCAAGCTTGCGAGTTGTCGGAAACAATAGACAGATGACGAACAGCAACAGCCATATGGCACAACTGAAATGAGTAATCGTATCACATTTCATTTAATAGCAATCTACTTTGTTAACAAGAACGATAGAACTGGAATAATTGGTATTCCCCGTATTCCACCTGGTGAGACTTTTTATGAAATTATCAAAATCAATCAATTAAGTACTCTACATCGGCTTATTCCACTATTCCCCGTTGACAATCCCCGTTAACGCCAATTAACAATTGGAGCTTTATACGTTAAAAGCAAAATCCTAATATAACGGGGATCAATGAACTTTTTAGTTCTAATTCCCCATTATAAGCTCCAATTGGCGTTAACGGGGTATAGTGAACAAAAGTTCACTAATCCCCGTTAACGGGGATTGTCAACGGGGAATAGTGGCATAAGCCTCTTCTACATCTACCTACATTGTAACTCTTTATGAAGACCACCTACTATAATGTACGAGTATGTTACACTGAGTTACGTGGCAACATATTTTTTTTGGATAAAACAAATTCAGATCTGAAATCAGATGTAATATTTTTCAGTATATTTTATGTAGTCAATTCATTGTCATCACCTGTAGACACCACAGGTAACAATAGAGCCTATAGGATGTTGTTAAGTAGTCGCTTAGTATTCTGCAATAGCTTTATCATCATTGAATGAAACTTATGGCCTAATCGTCTATTCGGATGCAAGCTACTCACAGTAACCGCGATCGGCACCCACACAGCATGCAGATTCCTGTACAGTAGGCGTCTGATTTGCTAAATCATGAAAATAAGGTTAATAAGGTGTGTTCATTCATTAAGAAACGTGATTAACGCCTTTGTTAGAACTTCGAAGTTTGGACCGAAAGTTTTGAATGGAAACGAAAGGGTGATTTACGTTTGTTCCTGAAACACGCTATTGTGTGATACCTACCTACATTAAATCTTAGTAAGTTATCTAGAGGTTTTCAGTTGTAAAACCTTAATTGTATTCTAAAGAGGTATAAGTTAGTAGGTAGGTAGAGTTTGAAACGGCTTGATATCTACTCAACACATTGTGGTTAACTTGTGCTTGACTGATAGTACAGAAGTGCGGAATGTTCAGTCTTGCTCTACATATTAGTAAGGCGCTGAACATGTGACTATCTCCGTTTCCAGCCAGGCAGCTTCTGTGTTTATCGAGAAAATGTTACGTTCGATAGAACTTGAACTGGATTTTCTATTTTCTTTCAGGTTTTTCCAACTAAACGGACTGAAACTTTCTACAATATCAACACCATGTAATATTCATTCGTATCTACGATTATGGTGCTTGAGTCCACAATTGCAAGGGGGTAGAGACGACCGTAGATTAAAATACAGGAAGTAAGGCTCTCCTGGAAATTCATTAAACTTTGTAGAGCTGTTGCGTCTTCGAGCAACTGTAATTGTTCGGTTCGAAACAACGGAGCTATTGTCGTCGGCTTCCATAATATTTGCTCAGGTGTGTATTATGCGAGGTACAAATGAATGAGCCACGACGGCGGTAGTGCGGCGCAGTGCGCATGTGTACGCGCGCTCGATAACCGCACTACGCCCGCCGCACGTGTCGAGTGATCAGCAGGACGAGGCTCCGAGCGAGGAGATGCGGAGGCTGTGCGCCGCCAAAGCGTGCCGGTCGTAGGCGCAGGGAGCCGGGAGCGAAGGCGCGGGGCGAGCGATGCGCGCGGCCCGCGAGCGCCAGTCGCACACTCGCGCCCTACCAAGCGGGCGTCAATCGCGTGTCTCCACGCTATCGCCGCGTCTTACGCAGCCGTATTCTGATTGGAATTGTTATTTTTTCGGCGGTGTCTGAATAAATCGATGAATGGCAACGTGATGTGTGTCGGATTCGGAACTGTGAGGTGCTGATTTTGGGCATTGAGATCGGGGATCGGGGGAAAGTGTTTTTCGTATTGTTTGTGGCAGCGACGGGACGGCCAGCGGCGGGCGGGCGCGCGGCCCGTAGTGGCGGGTCGGTGGATGGTGCGGCGCGGGCGGGCGCCGGGGCGCGGCCGGCGGCGCCGCTAGCAAAATGTCGATACCCCTGGGCCGGGAGACTGTGCTCCCCACGCAGGTGAGTCCCGCTGTCGCTTTCCCGGCGAAGCGTGATTGTAGATACCAAGCACCAAAGACGTGCCTCTCGCAAATTAAATAATTGGCCAATGGAATTACAGCCTCATCCAGCCGGTGTCGTAGATCTGCTACGTGACTGCTAACATCAATAATTTAGCTGACGGATAAGAACTCATCGCTATCTGAAAATTGGATAGGCTTTCTATCTAATTCCATAGAGATTGATAAACAAGAGTTCAATTCAGAAAATACGCACTAGTAGCAGAGTCTACGGTAAGAAATAAGTAATACGTTCGCTATGACTTACATTTTCCTCTTATCTGACTGTAATCGAGTCCTATGATTGAATGAGTAAGATACAGCCTGTACCTTGAAGCGAAATTGTTATTTTTGTCACTTTATTTATTTTCTGCGTCATCGACTCTGTCCTCGGTCGTTATCTTTTGATAACGATAAAATATTGGACAATCTGTTTTTGGAACCTGTTAATATAAAACTTATAATTACATACCTAGTTACCATGTTTAGTAAATACCTAACGTAACAACATAAAATGTTTTTAAGAATGTTTTAAATTACTACCGTATTATACTGCGTACTTACTCGTAATTACCTTAATTGAGCAAGTACCTAACAGTTTGTTAGCTAGTTATTACCAAACACATTTAATTATACAATTAAAACCTCTATCCAAAAATAATGGCAATACATTTCAAATTCATTAAGTTAGATTCGTAAATAAATCGATGCCTACTAAATAAATAAACAGGTTGCTTAATTTTTTTTTTATAATATTAATAAAAATAAATTATGCTACTTCAAAAACAAAAATACCAAGTCCTGTAATGTGTTCTAGTTTCTAATATCACGTTTTATAGAAATGTAGAGCGCGTAGTACCTACAACGGTAGCTAGCATTGAAATTCTCAATTTCGTTCACGTACCGTTCGAACAGTCCAAAAGATGGTAAAATTTATTCTCTCATTTTTCACTCGCAAGTCGCGTATTGAATCTAATTTGAGTCCCCACCCTCCCCCTACTTGACTATGCCCAAATCGTATTCATTTAAATAATTAAGATTTCTGACGCACCCGATTTTGGTCATTGTGGTGCTTGGTCGATTGTTTACACAGGGATTGAATAAATATACCCATGGAAGGGTGACTTTAATATTTCCTTTTTTTTCCTTACACAGGCAATACCCATTTCATTGAAAATACATAGGACATGAGCCCTCGTATGAACGAGGCGAAACGCTGCTGTCTTATATCTGTATGTTGTATGATAAAAAGCTTGTACGCTTTTTTAACACTAAGATATTATTTCAAATTCAAATTGTTTATTTGCATACTAAGTGTACATTATAGGTCTTATCACTAATACATGTGTGCTTATTACTTAGTTACCTAGTTAAGGCATTGCAAAGGCATTTCCCTTTTGGTAATTAAATACACAGCTAATTACTGTAAACAATAAATAGGAATTTTTATAATACATAATGATAATTCCCCGCAATTGTAAGTAGGTAGATAACTGATATTAATATGACACTATCCACTTACAGATTCATATCTCTGAAGTGATTCGTGGTAAGATCACAAGCAGGTATTATCAATCCTTTCACAAATACTTCAAATAAAGTATTAACTAGTTCATGCTCTACAATAATCCTCTTGGTTATACAACTTGAAACAAATGGCAAATATTATAAACTAGGCTACGAAAAACGTGACAATTTAATGTGCATAATAATACTGTCTAGACAAGGCAGATGTAGAGTACAGACACAGTTTGCCATACCTACATTCCAGTTAAATTATTATTATGTGTTTTCATTCAAAGCTTTAAATGGCAGCTCCATTGTAGGCAGTCTGTACCCGTATTTCGTAGTAAGAGACGGAAATCTATGTAGAGTTACGTACGTAGTACTAGTATTTATTCTGTGGTAGAGTAGAGCTTGGTGGTGGCCCGGTTGGCAGTTACACGGCGGAAAGTTCAAGGCTCTATCGATCGGAGTGCAAGGTTGGGGGTATTTTTCGCCGCCTATTCCAGTTCGGGTCGAAGGCACATTGACTTATTAGGCTATTCCGCCACGCCATCAAAGTCACGCACGAAATTCGCTATCGAGCAAGTATCAAGAACGAAAGTGCTACGAAGTCGTCATTTGTTTTTGAGTTGGTGCATTGAAAACAATAATCTGATTCACTAAAGATAGATGGATAAGATAAGTGTTAAGGTAGAAACAAATACCTATTTTTAAAGGGATATCATCTATATTTAAAAAATATGATAATTATTCAGATATCTCGAAGTTTTGGAGACAATTTGGTTCACACTAAACCGTGAAGTCGAAATACCAAATTGCTAAAGCTAGTATTTTATCTAAATGAGTCGTAAAGAAGCCGTTACGGTTATCCAGTGTAAATAAGGACGCCTCACCTAGATAGAGGTTCAGTGTCCGTCTGTGAGTGCGTTTCTTGCACACGTTTGAGCAAAGCCGAGTATTTATAAACGAGTCTCACATTTCGGACTAACATTTACTGAACTTAATTTTCCAAACGACATTGTAATAAGTAATAGATACGAATATGAATCGCCGATTCTAATTAGATTTTTGTTTTTGTTAATTACGAGTACATATGTCAAACTTTAGACTACTAGCTGGAGGTAGAGACATATTTTTATCTTTAATGTTCGCATGATATTTAGCTGAATTATTGCCAAAATTGTGATTTCAGATTATAAAGAAAGCCACTTGGTGGACTAAGCAAAAAATTGAAGCTGCAAAAGTGATGCGTACCAATGCTGACTAAGCATCAAACAGGTCTCAAGCCTCAGATCGCGTTGTGAATAAGCCATAGTTCCATGGTGAGTCACAGGCGAGGCTTCTGCGAAGTGCCTTATCTCGTAGGTAAGGGGCTATTTTGTGGCTTTGTCTAATAAATAGCTAATATTCAATTAAATACGCTGATATTAGGTGGTGTTATGTATCAGATTAATTAAAATGTGGTACCAGGAAGTACACAAGATACTCGTAAATACATAAAGTGATACATGTTTTTTCTTATTAAATTGGGTAGGTATACCTAAATACAGATTGTTTTTGTTGAATCATAATTGGTATAGTATTTAGTGATAAATGATAACCTTTAGTCACTAGTGTTTTGAGGCTTGTGATTTAAAAATAAACTAGGTAGTTATTAACGATTGGAATAACTAAACGACTGTGCCATAAAGTCATGTATGTGTTAAAAATAATAAAGTCACTATATTAAAAAAGTAAACCAACTCTTCTCTATTACAAAGTTTTTATGCACAAAGGTTTAGGTTTTCAGAAGATAACATACCTACTCGTAATTCAATAATAACATGAAATAAAGAGTGTTAGACACATAACGCTTTTATGATCGCGCGACGTGCGTTAATTAAAAAAAAAAAAAAAAAAAGAAAAGAAATGACAGGCAGAATTCATGGGGGTAAAGTTGTAAACAGAAACCAGTAATATGTGTTTAATCTTCTACCTGCCTTTTGTTTTTTCCTCTCCCGTTCGCAATCCCTCGGCGCACCGGCTACTAATGTGACCTACTAACGCTCGATTAGCTTTCGTTCCGCTGTCCCTACACCTACACCTAGTTAGGTATTGATTCAGCTAATGTTTGTAACGAGGTCGTTCACCTATCGACTGCGAAAAGGAAGGACCATGGCGGGTGTGAAATTTTTAATGACTCAACTCAAGGAGGCAGTGGATGTGTTAATAACTTAGGTAGGAATACGAATTCTTGGTATTGGCATTTAATTGACATGACTAAATGGTAATTATGGATGTTAGTTAACAATTCCCTATTTTTATTTTATTTCAGGATAAAATATTCACTGACTCTACAATAAACTCATTGTATCGTTTGTGTGGGAGCAGTTAGCTAGATACCTTTGGCTTAATTGTTTATTTTTTTTATTGTGTTTAATCTGTATCTCATGTTGATAGCCCAATAAAATAAATAAATAAATAAAGTATTGAGTAACTCGATAGGTGGATTCATATTTTTGATACAAAATAAAGTTGTGTAATGTATAAATTTTGTTATCTTACCACAATATAGAAATGATATAACTACCTAACTTTAATTATATTAATATTAGACCAATTATGGCACCGTTTAAAAACGTGTTTAAACGGATTAACGTCTATCTTAGCAAAGCGAAAGCTACCTGTTTCCTTTAGCAAGGTAGAGATTTAATTCGCTATTTATGAACTAACGGTGAAAAGGTTAATTTAGAATTACCAAGTAAAATATAATAATACCTTTATTTACATCAACGTGTAAGAACTAGCATAACCAGTCGGTGTAATTGTCTTGTAGAGTTTGACAGCTTTTGAGGTCAGTAGAAAATTGACATACCTACTTTTAAAACTTCATTAACTCTTTCAGGCAGGGTAAAGACTATAATTTTTCGTTCCAAAATTTTGTCTGCTTTGTCTTGTGTCACTATTACACCAGCACTAAGTGCAACACAGACCAAAGCATGAAAACGTGGGACGTGTAAAAGCGCTTTTTTAAAGCCTATTTGCAAAAATAAATGAATTTTATTTTTATGAATTTTAAAAGTAGGTACGAATGGAACTTTATAAGGTAGCTCGTATTGGTTTTCATAGGAAAATCCATGAGCGTTCACAATAGACAGTTCACTCGTGTCAAGCGAACACAGATTTAAGAGCTTTCACGGCAAATAGCCAATATGTGGAAGTAAGTGGACTATACTGTGCTTATCGCGTGCACATTGTCTGCATCTTAAACTCATTACGATAATGGATGGAGGCTCTGAGGCGTGCGAGCGAATAAGGATTCGGTTTCAGCGATGCTTCTAAGTAGCATACGCTGTTTGCTTAGCTATTAGCGGCATTATTTTCCTTGCAAACCATGAGTATATTGGTTTTAAATTCAATTCAGATAGATCCATTATTACTTCAAAAGCTAGCATCCAAAACTTAATAGAGTCAGGA